CATTACCATTAAATTTTAATACTACTTTAATGGATTGTTGCTCACATATTGGTGTCACTATAAAATTTTATTTTAGAGGGAAAAAAAAGAAAAAAACGAATTTTTCTCAAAATTTCACCGAAATTTTAAATTCATCAAGTTTTTTTCCTAACTTCATATACATATATAAGCTAATATATCATTCATAGTTCATACTAATAAATATTAGTTTACAATCAAAAATTGCTGATTTTTGGCATTTTTCAACATTTGTTTGTTATAATTAATATCTTGTAAATAAAATTAAATAAAAGATAATAATGATGATAACAAGTATATATTGATAATTCATATGTGATATAATAATTGAGAAATTAATATGTGAGCTCTGAGTCACGCATATGTTTATAATAATAACAATAGCAATAATAATAATAATAACAATAGCAATAATAATAATAATAATAATAATTTTTCATACCGTTCATTATTTCACATGGTGACAGCATAATTAAGATTAGGAAAATAATGAAATAATCGATTGGAATTATTAATTTACCATTGACATAATATTGCTGTTGTAATTCTGCTGCTATTGGAATTGCAGCACAGATTCTAATTGTAATTAAAACAATAAGAAGTTGCAAACTTAAATCCATTGCTTCTTTCGAATTCTCAAAATTTTAATTTTACAAAGGAATAACAGAAGTCATAGTTAGCCAACTTAATTGAACATCACATAGATGGATTTTGCCCGTTTATCTTTCCTAAAAATCTATTTTTTTTTTTTAGAAAAAAAAAAGAATTAATTGACATTATCAATCATTATTGAACCAAAGCTGTATCACTTGAAAACATAATGTAATTATTTAAAAATATAACAGAAATAATTGTTAAAAAATTTTAATTATCATTGCTGATCACACAATTTAATATTACTGTAACAGTTTAATTAACCAATGCCATTTGCTTCTTTGTTTTTATTTTCCTTTTTTATGCTACACAGTTATTACATTTCGAATAAAAATTTTGTTCAATGAAAAAAAAGAAAAAGAAAATTTTGAGGAAAATTTGAGATAAAAAAGAAAAACTAAAGAAAAAAGAGAGAAAAATAGGGAAATAAAACAACGAAAAAAGTTTTAAATTTTGAAAAGAAATGAAAGAAATTGTTGATATAATTTCAGAAAAAGGATAATCTAATAGTAATAATTACTGCATATTTGCATATAATATATAATCTACAAACTTATATGCATCTTATAAATGGTACCAAACATACATTCGCTATTTTTCTGAAAATTATCAATGCCTCCGTTCAAGGACTTTTGAATGACTGTCAGACACTATAATCAAAATTTTCCTCATTTATTTAAAAATATCTTTTTTAATCCAATGAATAATAATAGCTAGTGATGGCAGGTGACATATGAATTAATGCTATTACTAACTACTATCTGTCACTCTGATTACTTTGAGTGAAAAGAAGATGAAATTAAATTTTGATTTTTTGTCAAAAAAATGAACAAAAAGGTATCAATAATCGTATTTTCTAATTAAGAATTTTACAATGTAACCTAAAAATTATAGGTAAAATACAATTCTGATAATAGATGCAGTTAATAATTTAAAATCAATAAATTTGCTCTGGAAATTTACTATTGCTTTAGTTATTGTTTTATTTTAAATCGTATATTTTAATTTCAATTTATATATTTTTAATCATTTATTTTAAATCGTATATATCTCATTTTAAAAAAGAATTGATTATTTCAATTTCAATTTGAGGAATTCAGTTTCACTTAAATCTTTTAATACAATCAACAGTATTAGAGGAATAATTTAACTAATATCTTTTCGCATTTTTCCTTATTTTAATCAGTAAATAATTTCTTCATCATCAAATAATAGTTTAGCAGATAATACTATTATTAATAAGGCATAAGTTTCGACTCATAATAAAGATGAAATAGAATATTCTCTTACAGATCAGTAGTGAACAATAAGTGATTATTGTACAATTTAGAAGTTTGTGTAAAACACAATATAAGTTACCAAATTATTTAATTTGTTAAAATTTGTAGAACGAAATTTTGTAGAACTATTATCATCCATTTTTTCTTTTTTTCTGAATTTGAAAATTTTTTTAATAAAGAATGACAAATTTTCTTGGCCAATCTAAATTCAATATTTTTCTTTCCTATTCTGATTAAGTAATATTAGAAAAAGGAATGGAAAAATTTTTGAAAGTAAATTGAAAACGAAGCAATAAATTGATGGTAGTGAAGTATAGAGGAATGGTTACACTATTGAATCTGTTTGGTTTAATTTTTACAGGTCGAAGAGATTTTCAGCGATAATATTGTATGCAGCAGTAGGAGCATGTACACACCTCACCAAATCATTATGTGAATCGCTGTAGTGGACAGTTGGACAATTGAATGGATGGACAGAAGGGACCAATTCGAATTAGACACTTCTAATTGCTGCTGCTACTGCTGCTGCAGCATCAGTAGTAGTAGTTTTTGGGATTAATTTTTGTAATTAAAAATTGAAAAATTATTTATTGGCACTATCATCATCAAAAAATAATAAGATTATTTCTTTACCGAGTGTTAATTAGATCATATAGCAGAAATGAATTTCTATATGACGTTATCAGCGAACATAATGATATAATTACATATAATGTGATCATTCAGTTATTCATATCAATAAATTGTGTTTAGCAACAATTATAGCAAATATTTATTTATTTCCAATGAAAGTACAAAAACATTATTTCGTCAAAGTTAAAAAACGGATAATTATGATTGTTTATTAACTATAAAAGAAACAACGAATGAATTTCTTTTGAATAACACAACTGGTGGAGCAATAATTAACGCTATCAACAGGACAAATATTTTAATTTGACCAATTAACTCAATTTTCTTTTCAAGAATAAATATGAAGAACTACTGCTAGAAGTAAAATGAAATTGACAAATAAACAGATTAATGTAAATATGAGGCAATTAAAATTTGAAAATTTTACTAAGAAGACCAATGGTCATTCATTCACTCCTCTTCCTCCATCAATATCCTTCCTCACTTTCATATCCTTCCTACCTGTCCTTACAATTTTAAGTATGCAAATCCTTACAGTATGTACACAAACAATACAATTTTCCACCTTTCCAGCTCTTTCACTTCCTCTTTCTCTATCTTTCCCTTTCTTTCTTCCTTCCTATTATATGCACAATTTAAGTATTCTAGTAAGATTTATTTGCATAAATTTTATTCATCTAAATAACAAATACAATATGTTGCTATATGCCAAATGAAGAGATATTTTTGAATGAAAAATGGATTCATTCAATAATATCGTTTAAAAATGATGACGATAAAACTCAATCAAAGTATATAAATTATTTACAAAAGCAACAATAATAACAACTCCAATTCCCTTCCCTCTCTCCCTTTCTAATTGAACTATTTTCATCCATTCACTATTATCCTCTTCAATATCCTACATTTTCAAATAACCAAGTATTAAAATCTCACTCAAAATCTTCTTTTTTGGAAAGATCAAAACTTCACATTATTGATTCAATCCATATCTAATAATTTAGATATTTAAATTTTTTAGATATTAAAGATATTTAAAATATATTTCATGTAATATCAGCAATCATCATTTTAGCTCAATATTTTATAACATTTTTACGTTGCCCGAATCTACAATTTATCCCCTTTGCAATCATTTGATTTAGTAGTAATAATTTCGTAGTTCTTAAAAACATGAATGCATGATTCCAAAGATTATTTTTAAAGAGCATCGATCTGTCAACCAATCAGTCCTATTAATTATCAAAAATTAAAACATCAGAGAATTTTTCCTAAAAATACTACAAGTAGATTAATAAATAAGCATAAGGAACGAAATAAAATGAAACATTTTATTACGCATGAAAAATTTCATTCAATTTTGCAATCATCAAAAATAATTCCACTAAAAGTGAATTTTTGGACACTGTTCACAGACTAAAACAATACGATATACATTGCATATATTAATTTTGGCAGTAAATTACTTCTCCTTTCTTTTCTTTTTTTCATTTAGAAACAATTAACAAATGAGATAAAGGAAGAAAAGGAGAAAAAAGAAACGATTAAAAAAAATAAACTTGTGTGGACAAATAAACTGAGATTAGTGTCAATATAATATCATTTCAGCTATAAAGAAATAGCTATAGAATTGGAGTGAAAACCTGAAATTTATATAACTGATGAGTATTATTAAAAGATGAAAAAGCACTCCCAATTATTTAATTTAAACTATCAGATTTTAAGGAATAGATAAGTCTGATAGCTCATTTAGATTGCGCATGAATGATATGGTCAGAAAAGGACTTAAAATCAATAAAAAAACATCCAAAAATTTTAAATTGGAATCTTTCGCATAATTGAAAATTCTTCTAAAGTCTCAAAATGTTTGGTTTTCGCTAGCTGTCAAACAACTAATAAATGTTATAATATCAAACAGTAAAAGCCCAATATTAAAAATAAACGTTAGCAGTAGCTTAATATTACAGAATATTAAAAATGAACACTATCACACACTTCTGTCATTCTATCTCAGAGAGACTGAAAAAAAAAATCCCTAAATTTCTTACAGTAATTTTTTGAACTTTTTCATTAGCATTGCATCATATCACACAAAAATATAGATTATAATAAATAGAAATTAGATCTTCTTTGGAAATTTCTTCACAACATATACAAAAAAGAAAAAAATGATTTGAAAAAAGGAAGAACAAAGAAATTCATTGGCAAGATAATAGAAAGTTTCCATATAAATATTAAAAATCAATTATTTTTGAAAATATTTTCATAACACTAACAAATCAAGACAACAGATATGCATATTTCACAAAACTTTTGATCAAAAAAGATGGGAGAGGTAGCAGTATTGGCGACATTTATGAATGCAGAAAAAAAAAAAAGTGCTGAAAGGCATCGGATATCATACAATCGTTTCGATCAACAAACAACAGCACATCTGTTTTGCTGAAATGGAAAAAAACTCAAAGATTTTAATCGGAAACCTATAAGCAAAGTGAAAAAATGTCGACTTAGCTACATGTTTCGGGAATACCAAAAGAGTTATAGTCGTATTATGAATAGACAAAGGCCGAGAAACTAACGCATGAAATATACTTATTGCTAACTGCTAAACCATCCTAACTTACCTGACAGTATAAATGACTCGTTATTAATTTACTAAATATCCTTTCACAAAGTGATGATTACTGCTTTATAAAAAAAAAAAAGAAAAAGAAATTTACAGGGTAAAGACGAAATTGATCAAAAACACTGCAAAGATCGTCGAATGTGTACTGTTGAAGGACAGTGAAATTTGAAAGATCTGCTTTCCGGGCACATTGAACACAGTATACGGGAAATTTACCATTTACCTCACGAACAAACAAAATGTTCCAAACTTCGATCTGTAAAGAAAAAAGAAACCTCAGAGTTCGTTTATTTCTCAAAATTATTTTCTCATGCTTCACACTCATAACTGAGCAATAATTAAAGTGATCGAAAGCATAACAAAATATAAAACCAGAAATAATGTAACATAAAACTTAGAATACTAAAATGTATTACATGCAAACTGCATTTAAAAATTAACAAATGTGCTAATAATTTAAGAACAAGATAAAAGAAACGGGTTCCTGCTTTGTAAAACAAAGAAAGGGAACTTTTCCGTGAGCAAACATTTTTTTTCCGTTTAATATGGATATGTTTCTTAGTTTCAATCCTATATGTGAACGTCAAAAAAAAAAAAAAGTTTAGAGCTCACGAACTTCACAAGTAGAGCAATAATGCGATACTTCTCCTTTTTGCCTTGGATGCATCCGAATTGGCTTATCGTAGATACTAACCATATCAGCGATCATCTTACTGTAAGCCAATGATCGTATAAGCATTTGTTTAACTAACGTAAACATTTTTTGATTCGAGAAGCGTATATTTCGCGCCAGCTGCCATGTCAAATGTTGCATCGGTACTAATGATTTATAACCCTATAACGAATTCTTTTAATCATGAACTTAATTTCTTAAAAGCATTACAACAGCTCATATTAATAATGTACTAGATGAATGATCAAATGAATTGATGAATGAATACTTCTGGCATAGGAAACATATGTCGGAAATGTTATAAATAACGGAAACAGATTTATTTATCTGAGAGTTTATCTAAAGCGCGCAATAGTATCGCTGCATAGTAGTGAGGTCTCTGTGAAAATGTATGCTGTTATGCGGATAAAGAGAAATTATGTTATAATGCCTTTCTAAATAAGAGCAAGTAATTTCATTTTAAAATTAGCTTTCTACGACAACTTTTAAAAGTCAGCTTGACAACAAATCAAAATCTAATTAAAATTTCTTCTTCTCCCACATTATATCTCCTCCAGTAAAATCTATTAGTCAAATAACAAAATATATTTCTATATTTCAAACCCATTAACTCTTAAGTTTAACTAAGTATTGAATGTAGCCACTATTTCTTTTTCGAAAAGAAAAGAAAAAAAAAAAGAAAAGAAAAAAAAAAAAAAAAAAAAAACTTACATTAAGTTTGTTCCATTCATGGCAATGGACGGCCATTTCATACTGATTTGGTGTGGGTGGTCCAACATTCCATGCGACATTGTTACACCATCCGGTACTGTGTACCCAGTGAATACATCCACTACCCACCCAAACAACATCACCTGCTTTCTGGGTAAACCGATATACAGGAATATTTGTCTCTAACAACTCATCAATATCTGGCCACCACGATCCTTTCAGAAAGTTGAGTTTACGCCTGAAAACTCTCAAAAGTATTACAAGATATGTTTAATCTCATGTAAGACAGAAATCAATCAGACGATTGTGAATTACAAATACAAAACAAAGAGATAAAAATTATTTCAACTTGCCATCAGTGTTCATGGAACCACCTTCAACTTATAACCAGAAATATATCCCTGTAATTCCCATTCACTTTTTCAATATTTTCGCTCCCTAATTTCCTAGCAATAACAGCTTTATTGCGTAGACTAATTATAAGCATACTTTTCAACCATTTCATTGACTGCTGCCCAATATTCGTATGGAACACAAAACCATTCACAATCACCTGGACCAATGTTTACATTTACCGATGCCAAACAATTATTTTCAACATGTCCTGGAGTACGTGCACCTGGTACCTGGAACAATCAGCAAGTAATACTTCAAGATTCTGCATTCTTATTATATTCGAATCACTTTTTTTTCAGTCAGAAATTTACTTTTCAAGTAAATATTAATTCCTACAAGAATAAATTAATACTAATATATAAGATTTACTTCTTGTATTAAATAACACACCTTCATATACAGTTGAACAGTATTCATACCGTAGACGGTATGTCCAAGATGCGTTAACATATTACATGCCGCAACTAGTCGTGCAAAAGACGGCATTTTATTCAGTTCCGCTAACTGTGTTCTGAAACACAAATAATTCCACTTTTCTTTTCTTTTTTTCACTAATTTCATATTTAAAGTATTCCAAACACTTAACAAAGATTTCAATTGAAACAGAACAAAAGTATAAAAAGTTAAGAGAGATAGAATATCAAAATAATTTTCGTGAATCAATAAAAAACAATACAACTTCTTACTTAAATTTTCCTTCATCCGAAAGATCAACATTTGTTCCAAATTTGATCAATTTCATCGGCATTTGAGATTCCTCAGGTAAAGTAGCACGTCGGCGTTTCAATGAACCATTACTGGCATCTGTTGAAACACCACCAATACCACTACCACCACTACTACCACCACCTCCATATTTTGCGCTTGCTGCTCGAAGTTTCTCTGCTTCTTCCTGAATTTCAATCTCAAAAGTGTAAAATTTTTTAGTTTCTGCTTATGTTTTGATCTGAAAATCACTAGTCAGGATCGAATCATTCATTCCAGTACGCATCACAGCAATGATATATGATTCTAGATATAAATATTTTCATGTTTTTTCAAATTTCCATACAAATATGAAACTATTCCATTTAAACAAGATGATAATGACATTGTTATTAGATGGTTTATTATTAAAAAAACAGAATAGAACGATATCTTCTGCTGATTATTTTTAGTAATACTTCTTACTGCATCATAAAAAAATTCAATTAGCTGATATCTCCAACGATTTACATTCATGAAAATCTCGCTAATTATTAAAATACTAAAGACGCTACCTTTAAGCTATATTGGAATGATTGAGCCTGATACTGAGCATAATGTGCAATAGTAGTATAAGAACGAGTACTATGGCATATCCATGTTGGCTGTCCAAGATGATCAACATTTTGATCAGGAGGCATTCTGTACTGAGACCGTATCTCTACCTAGAAATCAGTGTTTTTTTTTTTTTTTTTTTGAAAGTATTATCACCTAGTAGTCAATGAAGCAGTTCAGAAATTAGTATTAAATAATTTCTAATAATGTCTCTCTGTTCCTCTAACTTAAAAAATTGTTTTAATATAGATAAGATTCTTTGGGGTTTTGTTCAGTTTAGATCAGAACTACAAATAAAAATTCCGTATAAGTAGACCTACATAGCTATATTCATCTCATATTCACATCATATTAATAAAAAGAGCATTGTGCCAAATCCTTGCTAACTGCTTTTGCCACTTAATTTTAAACTTCTCTTCTTAAATGATATCTCAAAAAAAAATATGACTGAAGCAAAATTGAAATATAATAAAGAATTGTTCTCAGAAATTTTCCGTAGTGTACTGAAAAAAAAAAGTGAAGGAATAAGTGCTGCACTTTACATAACCAAGCACAAGCAAAAAAAAAAAATCAGCTCTTTCGATTTACAACACAAAGCTTTTGAAAGATAGAAAATTCCTAACACAGAACTTATGGAAAACACCAAAATCACTCCACTAGTAATCTAAAGTAAGCTTATTTTTGCAAATATAATATATTCGATATATATTAGAACAAAAATGCTCTTTTGTAGTAAATTAAATTCTCCATAACAAAACAAACCTCATGATTAGGCGCAATTTCCAATAATGATTTTGTTGAAAATAATGAGAGGTCCATCTTTAAAGTCTGCGTCAAACCACGTATTAATGTAACTGCACTATTGTAACAATAATTTTGCAGCTCAATACTATGTGCTTCCTTTCGTGACTCTACCAGAATTACAGGTGTAGGTCGTAAAAGCTGAAAATAAATAATACGAATTGATCATCAAATTGCTGAAGAAATAATTGATTTCCAACGTACTATCGTTAATTGCTTCAAGCGAAGAGAATACCGCTGTAACATTGTCCCTACTTTATACTGTTGAAAATGTACAAAGCAATACTGCTGCTAATAATTCCTATTTCGAAAAATTGAAAATTGAACGAACTTTTTCAGGTAGAAATTTCTCTGTTTGTGGTACTTGTGGTAAGATTGGAGGCTTCATTCGTTCATCAAATATTTCAAAAAATTCACTTGGTTTATCAACCCTTTTCCTACATCTTTCCATCAACTCTGATGCAGTGATTGTAAGTGGTACTCGAACATCAGCAGTAAGCGAGAATGAATAAGGTAAGGGAGGCACTTCTTTAGTTAGTTTTACCTAAAATTTTGAATAAAACAAAATATACTGTTCTTAAAAATCCAGAAACTTTTGAAAAGTAATAAACATTACTCTATTTCCTTCAGCATTATATAATTCTCAGATTTACCATGTCTTTTTTGTCATCAGTGGTCCCCTTTTCGGCCGATTGAATCTTTAATGAAGAAGTTGAGGGTACAGCATCACCTGTAACAAAATAAGACATAAAAAAGGGAACAAGTTTTTATTAATCATTAAAAACAAATATATTTTTCATTTCAGAGTTAGAAATTTGGTGATTTCAACAGAAATTTAAACTATTCAAAAGTAAAAAAAAAAAATAATAATAATAATAATACACAATAATAATTAAAAATAATAATTGGAAAAAAATAATAAGTTACCATCCATAGGAATTTCTTTTTTGATACCGTTACTGGTGAAATCTTGTTCAACGTGTGTTTCTAACGATTGCTCGATATCATTTTTATTAATCTGTGTGTGTGAAGTAATTCAACTTTAATATAATTTATTCAGATAAAACATACATTGTGATCTGCACTTAGACAGTGGAGTTACAATCAGTACTGAAGTTATAATAAATTTCATTTATTATAACTCAGAAATCCTATTTCAATTTTCTTTGAGTGTAAAAATTATGAACTAACCTTTCCGTATTTACTTTCCAGCATCTCCAATAAAATACTTTCGCGTTCAGTAATTTCAGCTTTATTTGAGCGTAAAATATTCATTAGTTTGATTTGTAATTCCACTGACTCGTTCGTATTCTGTAAATGATAAGATACTGAAAGACGGTCAGTGCATACAGATTTTAATCAATCAGTTTTCAATCAGGAATTTAGCTAAATTATAGTTAAATTACTATAAAAGTAACTCAAAAATTGTTTGAAAATTAAAAATTATAAAATCATATAAATACCTGCGGCAATGCTAATGTAGCAGAAAGTAGCGGACTGCCGTCACGATAGCGCTGCTGCTTTTGCTGAAAAAAAAAATACAAATTCATTTTGTTTTTGTTTTTTCAAAAAGTGAAACCAAAAACTGTTAAAGGTAAGATAAACAACAATAATTGAAAAATGAAAAGGGAATGATTTCAGTAAGGCAATAAGAGAATATTACATTGAACATTCAAAAATCATGTGCAATTTACAGCAACAAAAAATATACCTTCAAGAACTCTTCTTGTCTTTGGCTTAGTTCCGCTGGAATGGAAAGTCTCCAAGCTTCGTTAAGACCAGGTAATCTGAAATAGTACAGAAATTTCTTAAAACAAAAACATTTAAGAAATATTCATTAATTTCTGAATACTAAACAAAGTAATTACTCGCTGGGTGGCAGAGATCGTAAATTTCCAATAAGCAATGACGATGGATGCAGCTCTTTTTCAAGCACACGTATCCTTGCTTTTAAAGCTTCCGGTGCGGCTGGAAACAATAAATTTTTGAATCTCAAATCACTGAATAAAAATTTTAAATTTACAATCAGCACTGTTTATTTAGTATAATGTGCTTTGCAGCATTTGCAGAGTAAAAACGTACCAATAATACATTTTATCGGTCGATTTAGGTACTACTCAGTAATAACTAATCAACAACGTTCAGTGTCTTTTGCCAGTTTATTGGAGCTATCACGATCGAACATCGTATCACAGCTGTATATTTACTTCTAATTCAGAAAATGTTCATATTAAATCTTATTTTTAAAACTTGAACTAACCTGGTTGACAATTCAGCGCTTTTTTAAAACAATGGAGTGCGTCCGAAAATTGACAGTTAACTTCGTACAATCGTCCTAAATCTGTCCAAGCTGCACTATGATCACGGTCTGATTGAACTGCACAAATAAACGCCTAGAAATCAGGAGTAAATTTAAAAATTATCGAGTCTAAATCGACTAGTAAGAGAAGCTAGAATAAAAACAACAGTAAGAACAATAATTTATCCAGCAATTCATGCAAAATCAATTTTTAACAACCAAAAACTGATCCCCTACCACGACTTAAAATCTTAGAAAATGTAATAGATATCAGAACTGGAATTACATAAAATAGTGAGTAAAGAAATCAGTCAACCTGCAAAGCATCCATTGGTTGACTTTGTTGTTGATATAAAACACCGATACTACACCACGTATCAGCATCTGCTTCTGATTTATCAATTGAATGTCTAGAAATGAAATAAAAAATTTGAAGTTTGTTGAAAAACTTCACAAAACCACAGCTTATAATAAATTTATCAAAGCATAGCAAATCTCTAGTATAATAAAATGATGTGATAAATAAAGCAAAATACAACTAATAAGTAACTGAACAATAAAGTCAATGGATAAAGTTATATATAAATTGAACTACCATCCAATACAAAGAATTTTTACTTCCCAAATAACGCTGCTGATACTATTCCCTTCAGAATACTTTATTACCCTAACCTACTTTCTCAGTAATACTACTAATCTGATCATTTGCAACTTTGGAGAAATATAAGATTGTTAAAATTATATCAAAATTTGTAACAAAATTTCATTCTATAAGCAACTTTATCTATGATACATAGATACATAATTTCAGAATTTTAACAATGCAGTAATTTTTTGTCTAATAGCAGTATCATAAAAACCTGTAATAAACAAATGCGTCGTGTGCTCTATCTTGTAATTCACCGTAGCAACGTCCTAAATAATAATATGTTTTCCCACAAGTGGGTTCCAGATCTTTGCTTTGAATTAAATAATTTTCCGCTTCGAAAATCTTTTGAGGTCTCTGTATTGGTGGACAATCTTCGCGGTAACACAACCAACCTGAAATATTCAGCATAACTACACCCTACTTTAACATATTCTTCACGTTGCTCGTGAAACAACTACAATATGATGTAGTTTATAATATCAAAAAACACTACTATCAGAATTTAAAAATTCGCTAAATTAATTGCACACAAAGTTCTTCAAATGGTCTTCAGTTATCTGCAAATAATTTCAATAATTCAACAAAAATACATTAGCAAATATTTTAGTGAAAAACTCAAATAGATTTAAGCTTGAAGCTATTCTGTGTAAAACTTTCATCACTTCCCCATAATCATAACAGTACAGAAATCACAAATAATTTGATCTGCCAAAAAGAGAAAATTTTAATTGTAAATATTCGGAAAAACAAAACTGAAAAAAAAAAAAAGAAAAAAAACAACGAGACTATTACAGATAATATCAAAGGGAAGACGTCATACATCTGTTTCATGAAAGCATATCCAGAAAACATATGTCATGTCATCAAAGAAAAAAAAGGAAAAAAAAAAAAAAAAAAAAAAACAAAATCAAAAAACAAAAAGCAAAACAAAAACAAATGATATATTACCAAGCTGTCTTAGGATCTGTGCTTGCAAACTGCTCGTCAATTGAACGGAATGGTCATTTAAGATAGTTCGATACTCAGTGGCTGCCCGATCAAGGTCACCAGCGATGTCGTAGCAGTGAGCTATGTTAAAACGCAATTCAACCTTCGTCAGGAATGTGCTTTCACGGCTGTCGTTCAGTGCTGCTGTGAAGTGCTGCAATGAATGATTTGAAACCACTGCGTCAATAAATTACTCAAAAGATATTTAATCAATGGCCAAACGGCACAATATAACGTATCGAAATGTAATTGTACGATTAAAAGTTCAATTATTTAGTGAAAATTAGAAAGTAATGAATTGCTAAAATCATTATCATATATGGATGTTCAAGTAATTATTAAGTCCTACTAGCTTAATTACTGATTAACAAAATTTTGGTGATTTTCCGCATTAAAATGAGCTTAACTTTTCTTCCTAATTTAATCTATGAAAGTTCCATTCATTTACTAGTGATTTGTTATATCCTAACTGCTATTCCATAATACCATGTTTAGTGGTAATCAAATTTCTAAGCAATTCCATTATCTCATGAAACCCATCAGCAAAAAGAATTTTTATCGTATTCTTTTCTCATACCTTCGTTTCATTACTGCTTTTTTTTTCTGACCAGCTGCTTAAATGACCACAGATCAAAATTTGCTACAATTTCGTAAGTTCGTTGTGAACCAGAAGAGGGTTTCTTTACAAATGAAAAAAAAAAAAAAAAAATGAAAATGACCCTTTTATGAATTTTTTATTCTATTATGCATTGTTTTATTGTAAGACAGAACCATATAAAAGTGGGATATTAAGCTTAATCAATTCTTAGGGAAACAAATTTTGCAGAACATTGACACTTAGTATAACAGTATTTGATGAGTATTTTACCAGCCTAATGAAAACGCTACTACCTGCAATGATGATTTTGATTAAACTGGAAATAATTCAATATAATATTATTATTTCATAAAGTTCTAAATAAAGGATTCAAAAATCCAAAAACCTTGACAGCAAGTTCGAAAAATTCCAAATTTTTGTAAATAAATCCTAATCTGGAATATATTTCAACTGTAAATTCGTGATTTGGATGTGAGTAAAGAACACGATTGAATGCTTCGCCAGCGCTGAAATTCAATGCAAACGTAGAAAAGAAATTTTGCACATAACTGAGTATATAAATATCTATAATTAAGATTAGAACTGAATTAAATAGAATTAGAAAAAATTACACTAATATATTATTAAATCAATTTATTTTAAGGAAGAAAGATGGAATGAATAAATCACAAAGACGAAAATAATGCAAATTTCATCTATAAAATTCTAGCAAAAAGTTTAAATCTAATTCAATTTATATTCAAATTTATGAAAATTTTACGAGAAACAAATTTCGATAAAAGAAAAAGGCACATATAGAGAATAAAGTTTCCATTTTTCTATGCCTTCAAGTTCAAATGGATTTTCCTATCATCCTGATTAAGTTAACAATGATCAATGGAACAAGGAACGATTAGCCCGTCACCATGGGAGCACTTCAAAACATTTCTCACACCGTAAATATTTATTGATGTAAGCAAACGTAAAAAGCGAAAGGATGATTTTGATATCCTTCAAAATTGATCAATATTATTTGCGCATAAGCAGGTCTCTATAGGGAGTTCTCAAATAAAAACGTGGAAGTATTTATTCGTTCATACTACATGTCCAAAGGTAATGTCTGAACGAGATCAAGAACAGTAGGGCCATTCGGACATAGCGTTCGGATAGACAATAAGCGAATGAAAGCGAAAATTAAATCCATATTTTTTAATTTGAAAAGTGATTTCTTGAAGAGAACTGTCTAGATGAAAATAGAATTTGATAGGTTTCAAAGAATATAGAAACCAATTTTGCTCTTTTTACACCTTTGTAAGTTATCCATAAGGTTCTGATATATTGAGAAAATATAAGCTAAAATAATCCCATAAAGGGGTAGATACATCGGTCACTAGGTCACAACACATGCAAATCTAACATTGTGCGTAGTGGACACAACCACATGTTTGGAGATGCGGGACGCATAGAATAATAATAAGCCAATCGATCAGGTCAAAGAAGAAAAAAGTGTGAGGAAGAGGATGTGCGAGGGACACTTCTCATCTTACCCCTCATTTCCTCCTAGCTTTTCTATAATATCCAAGTCTAGGATGAAGAGAGGAGGGGAAAGAGAAATGAATGACCAGTTAAAGACTAGACGTTGTTGTGGTCTGCAGTTAAGATAAAAAGATAATAGAATGAAAAGGACGAGAGAGCCAGCATGTCGAATGTAGAGGGCAAAAACATATCAGGGAAAATGCAAATTACTGTGTGAAAAATCAGCCATGGATTGTTGAAAAAAAGATATTAAAAGTAAAAATGAGGAAGGAATGAAGGCAAAGCGAGCAATGCAGTCCACTATCGCTGACCATCTGTTCAATCAAGCGATTTGGAAATTTTTGATAGCCACTATTTAAAACTGCATTAATTTAAACATTTAAAATGGAGGGGACAGCTGCCTTTACGTCGTGAAATAAGGAGCTGAATGAATTGACCAATAAAACGGTACGATTGCAATTTCTATACATTCAGTTTCTACCTCCAAAAAAACTGGCTCGCTTTTTCATTTCTTATTCCATCCTTTAGTGTTAGAAATCCTTTAGTGATAGAAAATCCCTTAGTATTAAGCTTTTAAATAATAAAATTCGAAATTATTTCTTCAGCCCTCCCTTCTCATGATTTTTCGCGTGAAAATTTCACTTAAAAGAAACTTGGAAAGAAATATTTTAGATTTTACTAATTTAAAAACTTATCATTCAAAGACTTATCAGAATGTTAAATATTTCAAAACAAATTCAAAAAAGTTGGATTTTCAATGCCTTCTTTGTAGATCTTCATCAGAACGGCTTGAATTAAGTAAATGAAGTAATGAAAGAAAGTAAAGATGTAAAAGAAATATGAGTCATTGTTACAAAAGGTCAATAGAAGAACATAAAATATGGAATAATTATTTGTGACATTTATCTAAAATAAACAACTGTTCATAACCACATGTGAAAAATTTTCTCTTAACTTATTTCTTCAATTTCGAAACACGAAACAAAATGACCCTTTTTTGATAATCTTTTCCAATTACCAACATTACTTTCTAATTCCAATGTTCTTCGCACTTATTACAATTAGTGAGATTACAAAATTAAGTAAAATATATTTTAAAAAAGAGAATAACATATAAACACGTAATATAGAATGCATAATTCTGTACAGGATGCTTATTTCAAACGATAACCATATACTTTCTAATTATACTGCAACTTCGAATTAAATTTAAATAAGCGGTTTCAGACTACTTTTGTCTTTTTAAATAGAAAACTTTGCGATAGCTATAACTAATAACCGATAACACTTACATTTCAAATGCTTTGAAATGGAAATAAACCATTCCGAGACCAAAATATGAGGCTGGTACTTTCCAAAATCCATCTTTGTTTAGATTGTAAGCTTTCTGATAAGCTGATAATGCTTTAAAAAAGCATGATAAAAATTACTATAGGTACTCTTTGATTACAACTTTTATTTCGGATCGAATAATGACTTGTCAAACTAATTTGGTTCAAAATAAAAAGTCTTATTATTCACATAAGTCAGCATTTTTGTAGCAGGAATTTCAATCTATTATTAATATCGTATATCAGTGCAACTATAACATGAATTTATTTGATGGATTATATTGTCACAATTTATATCCCTCATTTCATTATTTCATGATCAAAATAAAATAAACATACCCCTAGGAAAATCTTTTGCTAACAAACTAATATGTCCAATTTTCAAATACACTTTATAAATTTTCATATCATCTTCTTTAGCTTCGACAAGCTTGATCAATTCATTATCTAAATTCCGTATGCCCTGCAACAGGAAATAATTTGATATTCATGAACTAAAATTAACGGATTCTGATGAGAAAGAAGTAAACTTTCCTAATTAAAATTCAGTTTTAATAATTTTAAACAAATTTCTAATCTTTTTTTAAATCTCACATTTCTATACGAAAGAAAAGGAAGAAAGATAAACATCTAATTTTATACTAAAAAAATAAACACATGTAATTTATTAACATCATTTCTGGAACAATTGCTCAAACTGCCACCATTAACAATTCGCATTACTTATCCTAATAAACCATTATAACAGATAACTGTATATAATTTTGTATATGACAGTATAGTTTAATACATTTTCGTTATTATATTTTCATATATTTTAGTATACAACAGATATTACTTTATGTATATTATAGTCATAGAATTTATTTAATAGCAAAAATTGACCACATTGAATATTAACTTAGATCATTCTAATTAGACATAAAAAATTAACTAACCTTATAAAGAAGAGATTTGTCGAGTTCAGATAATTCGCCCTTTTTATTCCAAAAATGGATAAAGTCAAAGCTAAAAATATCCAGTTATACAGTGTTATGAATGAAAGAAATGTATGAAATGCAAAATTATTTGCTTGAAAGCGAATGAGTCGTATTTTTTTAAAAGAAAAGAAAGAAAGAAAAAAGAGCAAAAAATAAACATTGCAGAATTTTGAAAAAATATAATGTAAAATCTTTGAAACTAAAAGAAATATGGAAATGTTTATAACAAATGAATAAATAAGGAATATATAATTTTATTAGATAAAATTTAATTACCTGTCCAATTTGACAAATCTAATTTCTTCTGCACATGTAAATCCTGGCTCATATGTGATATTCATAGTTCAATAAGTTATACGTTCATTACCTTCCTAAACTTGAAGTCCCTCTAATTTAAGCGTAACAAAACCCATAATACACGGAACACACGTAACGGAAATGAACTACTTCGTAGCAATTAAAAATGTTGGCCACTATGAAACTTCTGAAATGGTTGCATCTCAGCAACAATACGTGTGTGTGTGTGTGTGTCTGTCTGTCTGTATATATGTATATATCAGTTAAGGTGTATGCACATAATATTTTGCTTCTGTTTTGTTAAAGTTCAGGAAGATTACGTATTTTCAGTACTTACATATGTTTATTACGTTTAGCATTCATGCGTATTACGCTTGACACGTGTTCTTGTTTTGATACCTGTATTTGTAAAAATTACGTCTGCCAATGCTTTCTAATATTCAAAAAATGCTTTAAAATAAGAATTTAATCGCACTAAATATTGAATCTCAAAATCTATGCTACTTTTCTGGAAAATTTGTGAAAAAATTGCCTCTACCAATCGAAATTTGCATTAAATGGTTATTATATCATGCAAACAATTCAAATGATATAATTTCTAAAATAAATAGAAATTGTATCAGTTCCTGAAGATTCGATTGACGTCTTTCTACAGTTATTCACTTTTTTCTTTCTTCGGAAAAAGTAGAATAATTCGGCTTGAGATTGAAGTTTTGCTTTAAATTTTAATTTTAATTCATTTGTTTAATAATCAGTTGCGGAGCAGTTTGATGAATCATATATCGTTCACTATAAATTACAAATATTTTTTAGAATTCCTTCTGGAATTTTCAAATTTTACCCACTTGTAAAGATCAAATTAAAATGCTATTCTAGTGCAAGCAATCAATTATCATTACTAAACGATTACCAATTGTAATATTAAACTCTTATCGCAAGAGCAAATAATTTTTAATATTAAATTCCCATCCCAAGAGAAAATGTTGAATTAAATAACAAATTATCATATTTTTTTCCTCATGCATAAAATAGAACTGCTATTGTATGAACAAAAATAGCACATACAAAATGGCTATTGCTGTGTTTAAAATAAACGAATAATTGAAAGATGTGATTCTTATTGTCTAAGCAAATGATGCACGAATTGTAAATTTTAACTGTAATGTAAATAATTCATCGATTCATTCATTTCATTTACACTTTATAGCACAACAATAGAGCGGAACATATATATATATATATAATGAAAAAGTGAAATATATAAAAATAAAAGAAAATAAATAAAAAGAATGAAATTACAAGGAATGCAGCAAATATAATAATAACAACAAGAAAGAAAGAAAAATCACCAGGGATTGTAACTGTAATTGAATTGAATTGAATTAAATTAAAGCAAATAAATAGCAGTAATGTTTAGATATAATACACCTAATAAATGAGCATAACAATAGCTCTTATTTGTATGAATAAAATACTTCTACAATAAAATAAATTAAATTTGCAAATAGTTTTCTCACTTCATTTTTTTTTTTTCAGAATTGTTATAAATAGAATGAAATAAAATTCATTTTGCTTATTCTTCCAATGTTTGAAAAGTTATTGTTGTATAAATATTAACCTAACTTTGTAAACAAAACAAAAGAAAAAAAGGAAATTTTGTAATCAAAGAAAAAGAAATTTTATATTATTTATTTTATTGAATAAATTTTCAAGTCTTTTTCCTTTTTTCTTTCTTCCTCATTTTTACCTTTTCATTAATAACCTAAACAAATCGCTATTAATTGATCTAAAGGTGAGAAAAACTTAATTAACCAGAGGTGAAAAGAGAGAAAAATCATAAAATAAATAAGTAGTACACTAAATTGTTGCAAATAATTCAGTAGATGAAGAGCTTTCAATAATTGTATTTAATGGTGTCGCTGTTGTTGTTGTTAATGATTTTGCTAATATTGTATTTAGTACACCTGCTGATGGTATTGTTGCCGTTGTTATTGGTTTTGTTGTCGTTGTTGATGATGATAGTGGTGATGGTGATAAGCTTCCTAGTGAATTCTGAAAAATAAAAAAATTATATTATGATAATTGGACAAATTTTTTTTGACATAACAATAACAATAAGTAATAATAATAGTGATAACAATAATAATAATTGATAATAATTTAGCAAGGAAAAATATATCAGTTAAGAGTAATAATAGTAGTACATACTTATATTTATATTCAAAAAAAAAGTAATGGTTTAACCTCTGGACAACTGTATGAACGTGTTTGTAGCTGATCATTTGTAGTGATATTATTATCCGGATCTTCATCTGATATAATCGGCACAAATGTTGGTGATCCGGAAGAGGGAGATGAACAATAAATACCATTTGAATTGTTACCATTTCCATCCACAACACTACTGCAATTAGAATTTTAAATATTCGTCATGAACGAATGATTTCAAATTATTATTTCATTTGAAATGATTAACATTATGTAATTTTTTTAAATTTTAATTTCAAGTAAAATAACTCACCCATCTGTGGTTGTGTCGGAAGAACGAATACTATCAGTGGAAATTGTTGAAGCCCAAGATTGTGGGCGCATCGGTCGATGTTGTTGACTTAATCGATCACGATGCGTTACACGTTCACCAACTATCCTAAAATAATAAATTCCAGATCTTTTTCCTTTTTTTTTTTTTCAGATTTGAAATTCAAAACTCGTTTTATTATCATAACCGAATTTACAAAGATTAAAAGTTCAGGTAAACAATCAATTAATTGTTTAGAACGATTATTTTATTCATGAAAAGTTCAATACAATTAGTTTCATCCACCCATATTAGAGATATTTATAAGCATATAATGAAAATAAAAAAACTTAAGTATTACCTATAAAGTCGTTGTATCCATTTTATCCGAGCAGATTCATCAATAGGTTGCACTACATATGCTTCATTTTTCGTCTCATCCCAAACTTCAAAACGTGCAGATGATGTCTTTGATGTTTCCGAGAAGCCAAGACTACACGTCTGAAATGATCGATGTTTCTAAACTTTTTTCTTTAAAAAAAAAAAAAAAAAAAAAGTGTATGAGAAATAAAAGTTATAAAACTTGATTAAATTAACAAGTTTTAATTAAATTAATTTCAATAGCAAAAAAAAAAAAAAAACTAATAATTATTTACTTACTGGTATAGATAACTTATGTTCATAATATTCAGAAGCGTACGGCAAAGATTGTGATCGTTTTTTGCAAAATAATAAACCACCATCAAATAGGAACAAATGTCGACGTTGAGGTTTATTAAGACGACGAGTTCTCTTCTTGAATGGATAAATGTCACATTCATTTTGAAGTCTTAATGGACCCATTTGACATAAATCACCCTAAAATAAATCCAATCATTACTTTTTTAAAATGAATTTGTATATTTTAAAGTGAATTATATGATTCACATAAAGAGTTAAATTCATCACGACTTTGGAATTTAAATTAGTCATGATTTTTTTTCTTCGAAAAAAAAAAAGCAGATAATAATTACTACAAATCCAGCAATATGTAATTGATGCATTGCTGTATTAAGCTGAGCCAAGAGATCTAACATAGAGGCTAAAGCTTCATCAACATGAGGCTTAGCCTGATCTGAACAGTGACGGTGTACTTCCTGCAAAATGACAAAATATGCAAGTTATTGAAATAATGAACAATCAATTGTTTAGTAAAAAAAAAAAAAAAATAGCAAATGTTTAGTAAATTTAGATGTGAAATGATTGAATAATCTTTGATTATTGCAGAAACTTAACTAACTAGTCATGCTATTCATAAGTTAAATAAATGATATTTCTTTGAATCAAATCAATATATTAAAATTTTTAAAAAGAAAATAGTTTATAGATAACTGATAAGGAATAAAAGGAGATGAATGTCCAATTTTAGGCTTTTGTTAATGATGAGCTTAATTACTTTTAACAAAAGTTGATATTTGGTAATCCTTTGCACCGGTTTCAATAAATAAGCACTTAATGGTAATGGATGTCCAGCTCGTTTTTGACATTCCTAAAATTTTAATTAAATATCTAAATTAAGATAATTATACAATTACTATTTCATATAGCAAGCATTTTCTTATTACATATTCTTTCATATATAACTTTTATGATATGTGCAAAAAAAGACAAGTAATATCACTTTTTTTTCAATTATTTCTTTTGTTTCTTTTCATGTGTCAAATCTAAGAAAAAAGTATTACATAAAATAAAAATTAAAAAAAGACCATAAAAAATTTAGCAACCGCTCCGTCCGGCTGTTGTTCCCGTCGTAATGCTTCACCTAAGGGTTTATTTTGACAGTAATGATGATAAAGTTGAAGGAATTTATTACGATGATTGAGAAAACATCGGCATATTTCGTTTATTGAATTTCCCGCAGCCAGAAAATCAGCCAAAAGATAGTTACTGTGAAAATTCAACTGCAATATGGAAATTAGATGAAAATGATAAGTAAATAAATAATAAATAAGTGAATAAATAAAACAATGATAAGTAAATGAATATTAAATAGGTAAAAAAATAAGATGATGAAACAAATAAATTATTAAATATATCACTGCAATAAAAATGATAAATAAGTAAATAAATAATAAGGTAATAAGACTAACCAAGTCAGGAATATTACCAAATAATATATCAGAACGATCCCTTAAATGAGATGTTATTAAATGCTCATTTTCAGGTGCCTCAAATGGTCTAATATAAAAATCAACGATTGATTTTAATTCACGAACATAACTTTGTTCCGTATTTACCTGTAAAATTTAAAAATTATAAATGAATCAATGAAGCAATTAACTACAAGAAAAATTGGAATTCATTGAAAAATAAATTATCGAATAAACCGGAACCGTATTAAATGCTGAAAAAAAGCACTTCTCATGGTGATATAAAATCAAAAAAAAAAAAGGATACGAAAATTAAAAATTATTCTTACTAATTCAGAGATGGCAAAATTTAGGAGTGAAGCAGGTTGATCAAATCCAATTGTCGCACCACCAACACCACTACTACTACTATCACTGCTATTACCAACTGGACCACCATATTCAGCATTTTTTCCACATATGAATGCATTTTGAGGATTGTCATGAAGCACTTCAATTTGACGCTGCAATATGACAAAGAAAAAACTTAATTGATTAATTAATTATATTTCTTCTTATATGACAATTGTCAAATAATTACTTAATTAATAACATTTCAAATAATTTTATATTATGGTAGGAAAAATAATATGTTTAAGCCATATATACATATGTACATTTCCATTTTTGACCTTTGTTTGGACTGATAAATTTGAAATGATAAACATCGATAATAAAATTCAGGAACATTCTTTTCATATTTTCTATTTCTTGTTTTATAAGACGTTTCTTCTAATAAACAAAGTGATCATCCGATTATCTTATAAACAAATCTTTTCTTCCTTACTTATCATCATTAATTTGAAATAAATTAAATTGAAATAAACTGAGGAGAAAGTAAAGACAAATACAACGAGGAGAGAAAGAGAGAGAGAAAAGAAGAGAAAATGAAGAACTGACGATAAGAAAATCAAATAAAAACAAAAAAAAAATTAACCATCTAATTATCACACATTTTTCCTTTTTTTATACATCATCATGAATTACAACTAAATCGAATTCAATTGAATTAAATTAAAACAAGCATGAGAAATAGGAAAGATGAAAAGAGGTAAAATAAAGAGGAACGGAGATAAAGAGGGAGAGAGAGATAACGAGATAAGAAGAATTAAAGATACGAGGATAAAATAAAAATGAAAATGAAACAAACAAACAGGGAAACAAATATCGTACCGTTTGCCGAATAGGTGCAGACCATGATTTCGATTTGCGTATGCGTGATTTGAAAAACATCACAACATCAGAATTATTAGAATTAATTAGATTGGTATGCTGCTGAAATTAAAGAAAAATAACAATGATACAAATGAATGAATGATGAAAAAGAAGGAAAAAGAAGAAAACTTAGCGATAATAAAGTAAGGATGTTTGAAATAAAAAATAATAAATTTGAAATAAAATGATGAAAGGAAAATGTTTGACAAATAATTAAAATAAATGAATGATTATTTGTACAAAAATATTTGAATTAATTGATTATAATATGCATTAACAATTAATAAAACTTTTCATTTTTTTTTTTAGTCGTTGAAAACAAAATGAGAATGCGTAAATTATGGGTGAAAAATTGGTTGATTTTTTTTTTTTTCAAATTTAGCACTAAAACAATTTAAAAAAAAAAAAAGAACCGCTGAATTGTTAATGTGCAAAAAATTAAAATTACTTCCAATAATGCGTGAAACAAAAACAAAAGAATAATTGACTTTCGAATTTAGTTGTATTTCAAAAAAAAACACCGGTTGTTTTTTGCATCATAGTCGATGATAATTAATTATTAATTATTAAGTGTTAAGCAAATAATAGATAAATAACCAAATGAATGAATGAGTGAGTGATAACAACATATTTCATTATCAGTGATAACAAACTGATTTAGGAGGAGAAAGAAGATGAGAAAAGATGATGAAAATTGAAATATAAATGATTTTGGTGTTGAAGTAAATATGAACCATTTTCATTAATAAGAAAAAGAAGTTGCAGAAATTAAAAAGGAAAGAAATAGTTCAAATAGTACTAGTTTTTATCCGAGGGAAAGGGAAAGAGAGAGAGAGGGAGAGAGAGTATATTAAGTTAATAATGAGAAAAGCCTGAAAATGAAAGTAGAAAAGGCAAAAAATGAAGAGTTCATTATATTAAAGACTCTAAATATGCACTTCAACTTCAACCACTTCATTGAACGCAGAATAGCTCTTTCAATTTATCATTTCTTTCTATCGAATATTTATTCAAAAATTTTTCGATCCATTTTAAAAAAAAAGAATTTAACGAAAATAAAAAAAAATTTTTTTATTTTCTTAAATATTGACAAATTTTATTGGAAGTTAACATAGTAAATCATAAACTTAGAAGAAGACGAGAAAGAAATATTTCATAACCAAAAATCAAACGTTTCAATAAAATAATGCTAAAAACCGGGAAAAATAATTATTAATTCTTATCAAATAATACATACTCAAAAAAAAAAAAAATGAGAAAAGGTAATAATTTCTGTCAAATAATATTACCAATCAAAAATGTATAAATATCAAAGAATAAAAATAAAAATAGAAATGTTAAATTGATAAAATTATTAGCAATAATATATAATTTTAATAAATGAATAATTCAGTCATAAATAATGATAATATAATAAATGAGTGATAACAAATAATAAGAATATGAAATAAATGAAGAGAATGATAAATAAAGATATCATTTATGTAGAAATGAATGATGCAATGATAAGGATATAGGTGACCTCAAAAAATATGGTTAAAGGAGGAGAGAGAAAGAGAAAGAAAGAAAGAATGAATGAGTGGTGGAATGTATTCTGATACTATCATACAAGTCCCATCCTTTTGACTATCCGTTTCATCCCGCGAAATTTCAATTGCAACCATTCTTCTTCCGTATTCTCCTACTTAGCTTCTTTAAAGACAAGGAGAGAAAGAGAGAAAAAACTAAAATTATGCATAAATAAAATAATTATTGATTATTACTTATTAAAAAAAAAAAAAATGGAATTAAAAATTGACATGATAAGAAGAATAATGCACAAGTTGGATTAATGGGCTAAATTTAAATTAGACTTGAAATAGATGAGTAAAATAAATTTAATTCATAATTTCAACTAATGGAGGTATGAAATTGAGTATAATAGTTTTGTTTTTGCTTCAATAAACAATTCTAACACAATCATAGGACAATGATAACGATAATGGTGATGATAAAGATGATAACGACGATAATGCAAAAGATCAAGAAATATCCCACTTTCGAAATTATTTGTTCCAATTTGGCAATTTATTAATATTAGCGATAATCTACTATCATTTTATATCACTTCTATTTTATCACATCATAATCATTTTAAGTCATCAATTTAAATTTAGACCATTTTAAAACAAATATTAACAAAAACTCAAAATTAATTAATTAAACTATTTTTCTTTTTTTTTGCTCATTTCATACTAGATTGGATCTTAGCTATCATTACAAAACACATATACATTGTGTAGTTTTTATTAATTTAACGTTAATTTCAAAAATAATAACAATTATCAATAGAAACGATAATGTGAAATAGATTACTGCCAATAAATTTACATAAATCTTTTTTAAAGACATTCGTTTACTTTATGTTGATCATTTCTTATTATTATTTACATTATTGAATATCACAAATAATGAATAGTTAATTTTCTCTTATTCTATCAATTTTGATCCTTTAATTATCCTTTTAACGGAAAATACATGAAAATTTTTAATGGTGAAAAGAAAAATTAGAAGGAAATAAAATGCTGAAAAAGGAAAAAGATGGAAAGAATGAGGGAGGGAGGGATAAAGAGAGAGAGAGAGAGAGAGAAGAAGCGAAAAGAGAGAAGGGAAAACGAGATTATTGAAATTCATTAAATGAATAAAATTTTATTGAATATATGTGATGGAAGTTTAGAAATGAAAAAACTTGTACAATTTTGAAAAAAGTCAACTGACTTTGATTTTAATAAACAAATGGCATTTTTATGAAATTTATCGTTTTTATTAAAGAACATAAAATGGCATAACATTATTTTACTGATATATTTTCTTCGTTAACATTTATGAATACAATTTGTTCAATATCAATAAAACAATGATTAAATTTGTTTTCATATCATTAAATAATTGTTTACTGTCTGTTTGTGTTAATCTTTACGTATCTTTTGTTGATTAACTTTTTTTAAATTCGAAAAAAAACACTTGATATTTTTAAAGTTAATTAATTAATATTAATCAAAATAATAATTGAACCAATCATATTTAGTTCATAGCACGGTTTTATTCTTTATCAATATTAATATTCTATTGTCAATTCTTTTCTTTTCTAATTTATAAAATCAGGAAAAGGACAAGAAAAGTCTAAATAATCTTGCATAAATTTTTTTTTAACAATATTAATTAACAAACTAATTTCGCTTGACTAATTTCTTTGGTTAAAAATTATTGCTTGATAATTTTTCATTCATTCAACATCTTCCTCCTTCCTTCTTCCAGGAAAAAAAAAGCAACAACGATAAATGTCATGGTTAGCTCAGCATTTGCAAATGTAATTTTCGCTTGAAAAGACTTCCAAAATAAATTGATTTGAAATTAAATAGAATGTAAATGAGTGCTAAAAAAAGCCATCATATGGCACTTGGCCTTCAATTTCATATAGTAATATCCTTGAAAAAAACAAAAAAATAACGGTTTTTTCCGCCCTTTTTTCATTCTTTTGTCCTTGCATGTATTCCTTCAATGGCATCCTATTATCATATGTCAAATTTTAAAATTTAAATTTCAAACTGAACAAATTTTAAACTCAAAAATTAAAATTATTAGTTTATCTGACCAGAATTTGAAACAATGAGAGAAAATATCTGACCCTTTTGAAATGTTTTCCATTTCTGCTCAATTCATTTTCATCCATGCAACATTCATCAACAAAATGTGACAACGGTTCATTTGAATCATCATCCGGAAAATCGGTAATAGTATTCCGGCTAGATTTGCATTCTCTATTCGATGTGTAATTTGCTTTTTGCTTTGCACGAAGTGAAAGATGAAATACCTGGCGTCTGATCATTCCCAAACGATCATGCCCTAATGTACACTCCTACATAGCAAACCTCAAATATCAGACAAAAATGATCAAAAATGAATAATTCAATGCGAGGAATATCAAAGTTAAGGCAGTTATTGCTAGCCCCTAAATAATAACTGGGCTAACAAAGAAAAAATTATAATCATTACTACAGATATTGATTATATATAATATATGCAAAGGGAAAAAAAAAGTGAATCGAATATTTTCCAGAAAAAAGAAAAAAAATTACCGTCCGTCTTTTTTTCAAGAAATATTGATTAAAATTTTCTAAAATTATAAAGTTCCATTCTTAATTTAAAAATCAAAAAAAGAAAAAAGAAAGCACAGCAATTTGGATCATTTCAAATTCGTGTAAACTAAATGCTAACAAACAATCAAAATGAGAAATAAAAAGAAAAAACTTTTTCCTTTTTCAAAAAAAAAGGAAAGAAAAAGAGAGGATAGCTTGTAAATCGTTAAATCTCTCACTCTCTTTCTCTCCTTCTCTCTCTATCATTCTATCTTTTTTCGTCTCTCTCTTTTTTATCACTTCATCAATATCAGTGATGAAAACTGTTTAAAGTGAAGAGAGAATAAAATGAAATTGAACAATGACAGAGTGGTATTTGCAAGCATCATCAATGCTTAAATCGTTTTTTTTTTAAGTTAAATTTTTTTTTTTTTTTTTAGCTAGATAAGTGAATTAAAAAAAGATATTTTCAACTAAATTAAGTAAATTGAAACAAATGAAATAAAAATTTACGGAAATATTCGAATGAAAAAAACAAGATAAAATAAAATAATTGACTTAGTCTTTGGTAAAATTTATTTTTCTTTTTATTTAAAAACTTCACTCATTTTTAATTCTTTACCAAATACCAATTTTTCATTTTCATTTCCAGTACTATTATTTCTCCAACTCTATCCATCATTAGTCTTATTATCTTACATCACTATCTCATGACAAAATAAAAATAGCAACAACAACAACAACAATCTTTCTTATTTACGTAACTTTTCAACTACACTATTTGAATTTCTAAAATTTTGTTAATCAAAAACTAAAAGAAAGAATATGTCCAAAAATTTTAATTTTAATATCAAATAAATATTGAACAATGATATCATTCATAGAGTTGATTTGTATAAAAATTAAATATAATTTAATTGCTAATAATTAATGAAAATTAAATTATCAATTAAAATATCCCACATATTTACAAATATCACTCTTACCTAATTAATAATCACTGATTCATTAATAACACGCATACAAGGATGCCCTTGTATACACACACACACACACACACACAGACATTAGACAAACTTAAATATATGAGTATGGATGAAATAGGTAATTGTTAATGAAGAAATCAAAATGAAAAATAAGCACTTAATTAATTAGGGAGAAGAATAATTATGAAAGCGAGGATGATGTGAAATGAGAAGTTAAGGTTGCTGAGGTGAGGTAGAACTAGAAGTGTTGATCGATATAATTGCGCCGCGCTTTTCTTCCTCTTTCTTATTTCTTCCGCGGGACAAACTTCTCCTTCCTTTTCAAACATTTATCATCCACAATCTATCTCCTCTCTACCTCTCCCTCCCTCCCTCTCTCTCTCTCTCTCTCTCTCTCTCTCATATCATTACATCACGATACACAACTATATTATCCCTCTTTTAAACTTTATTTCTTTTTAAATGCATTTCCAGTGGATATGTCAATTTACTTGTCATTGGTAGTAAAGTCAAAGTATCTCACATATAAAGTAACTTACTATCATTGAGAGTTAGATTTATGGCAAAAAGTCTTTCCTCTTATTTTTCACTTCTTGAAATTCATTTAAATACATAAAAAGGATGAAAAAAAAAAAGGAAAAAGTGGTGAAGAAGTATAATAATGGATTAAATACTAGAAATGAATGAAATTTGAAATATTAAATGAATTTTATATTTATATATCAAATAGAAGAAATAAAAACTTTAAAGGAAAAACGAAAGTATATGAATAAAATTAAATGCAAAATAGAATAATCAGAGCAATTCAATGAAAGGAATAAAAAGAAATGAATGAAATTAAACTATATTAATTAAAATTTATTGCATAAAATAGTTGTAAAATAGAAGAAATAAAAAATTTTAGGATAGAAATGAATATTATAAAAGTAGCAGTTTCATTTTATACTTACTACAAGTATTTTATGCTTTATCATATTTTATTGATTGTCAATTGTCGCATCTTTTTTTCTGGGAGAAATGTAAACATTACCAATGACGTCAATAAAGCTAAACCAGTTTGCTTCACTAACAAATGAAATGAAATTTCAAAAAGAAAAAGTTCTAAATTTAAATTAATCATTTATGAAATGGGAAAACACTGGATATTTATTGAAATTTGTTGAATTAGATAAGCAAATTGGACTTAAACAAATAATAAATTATTAAAATTATTGACATATTGATCAATGAGCTAAATAATGAATTGAAATAACAAATTAACAGATGATTTGGTAAGTTATATTTTTATTTGACAAATTAACCAGAAAGTTTAAAGAGTTAGGCGAACTAAAGTTGAAATCAGACATATTACACTTTTCTTTTTTTTTAATAAATTTGACTTCAGAGGATAAATTTACTAAATTCTATCAAATAAGTTAAATGATCGAACATATGGAATAAATTGCAGGCGCCAAAAATTGTAAATAATTGGTTAGGAAGAAAAAAGAGTGGATGGGAAAGAAAGAGTAAAGTTATATAAAGGGTAAAGGTAAAAGTAAGAATGGATAAGGATAAGGGTGAAAATTTTTTTATGATTAGGGTGAAATCTATTCCTATTAGATTGATTGATGGATGAATTTGGGTTTTTTTTAAAAAAAAAGAAAATTAAATCAAAAATCTTCTCCATCAGATTTTTTTTTTTTTTTAACATTGAAGAATAAGAAGTAAGAGAGAAAGGGGGGAAAGAAAGAGAGAGAGGGAGAGAGAGGGGGAAAATAGACAAAATGTTAGATATGAGAGAGTGATTAGATAAGGTAAAGAGAATGGATATTTAAAGAAATATTATGATCGAAATATAACAATTATTGATAGAATATGCACTTCTTTTTTTTGGTGTTCTGAAAGGTAAGAAAAAGGAATGCGTAGATTGAATTTAAATGTCGACGTACGTATCACATATACATAACATAAAGTTAAATATACGTGTAATACGTGTTGCAAATGTCTATAAAATATGATATTGTCATCCTAGAGTTTATCAAAAGATTAAAATAAAAAATCTAAAAAAAAGAAGAGATCAAAATGATACTTTATTCGGTGATGTTGGAGATGAATTCCTATTAATGGTAGTTGTGCTAATAGTTGTGCAACATTGGTCACCGTTAGAGCATTGTAATTTTTCGGGACTAACAATCTGAACAGGTGGTTTTCGAATTTCTCGCAGTGCCATCTTTTGTAATGCATCACGTCGATAAATGCTTAAATGTCGCATATCATCGATACGTTCAGCAACCTACAAAATTTAAATCACGTCATGCGAGAAAAAAAAGATCGTCATCTCTTTTTGAACTAATTTTCACAAAATTATTAACATTTTCTTTTTAATAAAAAAAAAAAAAAATATTTCTTTACACGCATTATTTTTTTAGATAATTTCGATAAACACCGATTAATTTCAATAAATTTTAACTAGTCACACTTGATAATTTCACAAGTTTTAATTGATTTGTTAAATAAAGTTTTTTATACAGCCTGAAAAAAAAAATTTGTTTTTTTTTTTCAGGCTGTATAAAAATTTATAAATTTTTTGAAAATCAATACAAGGAAGCAAATTTCCAAAAAAAAGCAAACTCAGTCCTTTCCTTCCCTCTGGAGTCATTTGATTTAAAATGAAAAAGCTATTTTTTCCTCTTGTTTTTCTGTTTTCGACATAAAATCTTTGGGAAATTGTTTCATTCTCTCATTCCTTTTTTCAAACATTTTTCTGTTATTTCTTTTTCTTTTTTTGAAGGAGAAAAATGTATTTTTTTTTATTCCGTTAACTTAATACTTTTTTTGACACTAGAACTACTTTAATTGCTTTTCTTTGTTATTAGTTATTTTATTAATTGTGCAATTTTTATAAAGTTAAAAATTTGTTAATCTAAAATTTATTTAATGAATAGAACTACACAAAAAAGTATGCACCATATAATAACAGAAATTTCACCCAGTTTAATTTGTTTTTGGTTTTCACTCATTCTAGAACTGATAATATAGGACAACAAATTAATATTAAATTAATTTAATTTATTAGCAAAAATTTCCCTTTACTTTTCATCGTTTTTCCGATAGTTTAAAGTTAGCACACAATTAAAATATACCAAAAATAATTTTATATGTCGCAACAAATTAGTAATTGTATTATAAAAAATAGAAAAAAAGTAAAGTAATCAAAAATTTTCAAATAAAGTCATGAGGAAAATTCATTTTCTAATTTTCGTCAAATTTATTCAAATAATAACAAAAAATTGTTTTAGGCAATGTAAAAAGTATATATTTTAATTGATCCCTTATTTGTAAATTCTAAATTCATTTGCCAATTCTTTTCTCCTAATTTTCTAAAATTAAACTTAAAGTAAGAATACCTGTGCAAGTAATGTAGATGTTTCAGTTGTTGTGAGCATTATCAATTTGTTTAAATTTGGCTCATTATTAAAAATATCCAACTGAAAATATATTTAATTGTAAGTTTTATTTATGTTACTTTTTAATAAATTGATATTATAACGCTCTAATAATTTACCATAAAATACTTTAACATAACTGAATGAATGGAATGCTAGAAAAGGTAAAGTGAAACTAATTGCTCCACTTAACTTATTAATTAGTGATATCATGTCATATCATATCAAATCATCCCTTTATTATTATTCTATTATAAACCATCTCAACCTTCAATGATTCGCCTTCTTCGATATATTTGTCAACGGTTGTTAATGCACTGGCAGCATTACCCGCTGTACAGTCATATGGTATTGTCGTCAACAGTTCAACACCACGATGACACCAATTATTCGCCTAAAACTCTTGAAAATAATACATATTTGATACTGAAATTATCCGTTATTAGAATAAAGTAATTCAATAAAGTGTAATCGGTAATGATAATCAATAAACACTTAATTTGAATATAAAACTTTAACATAAAATACAAACAAAAAATAAAAATTGAAATTCTTTCTTTTATGTTTCCAAAAATTTTGGAAGAAATTTTTTCAAATATTCGAAGTTTTTGGAGATATTAATTTATAAATGCAAGTGCAAAAATTGAGAAAAATTTTGAAACTTTATGAAAGAAGTGGAAATGTGAGAATAAAAATTGAACTTCCCTGATAAAATTTCAAAAAGAAATGCAATAGAAAATTAAACAAAGTAAACTATTCAAGATTTTTACTATACCACTTATTGTGCTTCCATAATTCATAGATCAAAATAATTCAGTAATTTTTCATATGCAAAAAACTTTGGTCTCCAAAATTATTCCTATATTAAAATCTATTAAAAGTAAATTGAAACTGGACGATGCAAAAGACTCCTTGAAAAGAGTTATTGGTTGAAACTTAGGATGATTAAGTTAAAAGGATTTAAAGTTTGTTGAAGAGAGTATATACTTAGAACAAATGGCTTCTTCACATCTTTTAGATAAATTTGGAAGCATTTTAAAAATTTTGTACCAAGAAGCATGATTAATAACTTATTGCTTCTTAACATGTCTGATATACAAATGACTGATGTTTACACGTTTGTACGTATATCTATGGATAATTACTTCATCTTAATATAGTTAAAAGACTGAAAAGTTAAAAGACTTTTGTATACGTGTTTAGATGTCTATCTATGTACTTCATAACAAATAATTTATTATATATCTCAGGCAAAGCGCATCCTCAAAATCGTAGAAATATCAATCGTTGCTTCATTTTGTAATAACCATTAATGAATTTTATAAAATTACCGAATTCTGTCATGTCCTTACTTCTTTGAATTTTAATTTAAGTAAATAAAAATAGTTTTATCTTGCATCAAAGAAACTTCTCTCTATTTTCGTTTTTTTTTTTTTTTTTTTTCCATTTTCTTGTTAATCATTTTAAGATAGAACTTGAGGAACTATTAAAAAGGACATTCTCTTAAGAATCATTCTTGTCAGTAAATACTTCTTCATTAATCATGAAAGATAAATACGAGTATTATGCACTTAAAGATGTTGATTTAAAAGAAAATTTGCATATTGAATAATGAAATAATTTAAAGTGTTGAATAATTTGAATAGGATAATTAATAATTTACTGCATGTATTTGTTGATGCATGTCCTTGCTTAGTCGTAGCACTTGGCTACGTCGTTCAAGTGCGCCGCTTAATGCATCGGCCATACGATCCAGTTCATCACATTTTGGTAACAAACTTGCTGTTAATTCAACATCCTGTGATGAGATTAGCTCTTGTCCTGCATCTCGTAATAAACGTGCTCCATCCACGTCTTCCTGAAATTGAGAATAATGGTAGTAATAATAATGATAATCAGAACAGTAATAATAATGATAATATCAAATATAATAGTTATAATAATAGCGATAATAATAATGACAGTGGCAGTGCTAGTAGCGATGACAGTAATGATAATGATAATAACAATAATAATAAGATAATAGTAACAGTAATAATAATAAATTACTGTACAAACCATAGCTTGTTGACAATATTCAGCATGCGCTTGCGCTAATTGTTCAGCTTTTCTCACTCCATCACCAACTTCTCGATGCTCTTCCAGATGGATCATATGCTTTGCAAATGCTGATTGTAGCTGCAATAATAGTAATAATAATAATGACGATAATAATAATAATAATATTAACAACAATTATTGTTATATATTTCTACTAGGTTTTACTGTAAACATCATTACTCGTTTTTTTTTTTTTTTTAATTACTAATTTTTTTAGTAATATTTAAAACTATGTGTGTTTTTACTTCCCATCTTCTTCTAGTTTATAATAATCTTCAACAATTGTTAATACATACAAAATTTAAACAGCATGCTTTTTCATAGTTACTAGAAAGAAAAAAGAAAATCATATTTTATTATTATTGCTAAATTTGGTAGTATTTTATTAAAAGATCAATTTATATAAAATATTTTTTAAAAAATAATTCATTTATAAAGTATTTATATAAGTTTGCATAAATAAAATGATTCACAGTAAGAAATTGTTTCGAGAATTCTCGAATAGATTTGCGAATTAAATTTGAGAAAATATCATAAAATTGTGAAAATATTGTTAGCTACTTTTTACCTATCGATTTTGTCAACAAAATTTAATATTATTAGCAATGAAATTTCAGAGAAGGATAATTTCGATATCTATTGATTAGATATAACTTTTCAAATAAATTTTCCTCCTAGACTGAAGAAAAAAAGAAAAAATTTCCATGAAGCTTGAAGGAAAAATATCCAACTTATCATTTTCTTAGATGATGAATAAGAGAAATACAAATACATTATGTGAATCCTTCTCGAAAATATCTCAGATGTTTCTTATTTCTTCTAAAAAAGAAGCCTATGAAAGTTGTCAAAAGACATATGAATAAAAATGCTACTAAAAGTAATCATAAATGATAGATAATGACCATAAAAATGACATCATACAAACTAAAAGTTGGATAATTGGTGATTAGTACTAACAGTAAAAACAATACATAATTAGTTTGATAGGTGATGAAAATTTTAACAGTAAAATGATTATGCTAAGAATATGAATAGGTGAAGTGGAAATGAAATGAAAGGATGATAAGGACGACAAAGTGGACAGAAGAAGTGTCACATTATTATTCTCTTTCATATTTATTTATATTGATAGTCATCAGACTAATAGAAGCAATTTGCGCTATTAGAAATGGGTTGTCCAGAAACTTCGTTCCATTCCCTATTAGCCATAACATCATTTTCAATTTCAATCGGCTATTAGGATTTCATTTAGCTACTTCAATCAGTATCGATACAAGAATTCAGTAATTCCTTTGACATATCAAGAAAACGATATTACTCTAGCTTTTTTATTTTTTTAATTGCTCTTTTTTCCTCTTAAAAAAAAAAAAAAAAAAAAAAAAAAAATTTAAAACGAATCAGTGCATTATAAAATTATACTTCTTATATTAAAAAGAAAAAAAGGTTTTCAAAAAATCCGTGCACATTTATTTACTTGGCTCAATTAAAAGATATGCATTTCAGTTTTCTTATATGAGCTTGAAATCTAATTATTCACCATTAAAAATAAACTGAGTATTCTAATAATACTAAAATAATTAATAGGAAAATTACTTAGAGACAATTAAATGTCCAACTAAGTTAAGATACACAAAGATAATACAAAAAAATTAACTCATTAACAAAAATAAACAAGAGCTAAATATACGATAATCACAGTAAGTATATAATAATCATGGTAAAGCATGCTATAGTCATAATAACACGATAATCATGACTAAACATATGATAATCATAACTAGGCATACGATAATCATGATCTCCAATATTTTCTAAATTACAACCTTTTGAAGCTTTTCTACAAAGCAGTAATTGTGGTAAATTTTCATGGAAGCACAACTGCTGCAATTATTCAAATATTCAAAAAAAAAAAAAAAAAAAAAACCATTGGAGTGTGATTTAATCTTTAGAATTAATGATTCGACGACCATTAAACAAATTGTAGATAATAGGAAATGAAATTTTGCATGATTATCCCCTTTGCTAGAAATAATGTACACTTAATTATCAATCAACTTTTTGTGGATAGCAATAATATATTTTAAAAGTTGTAAAGTGACGAATATTCTTTTAATTTCGACATTTAGCATACCGATGATATCATTTTGAACTATTCATAGAATTTCAGCATTTCAAGGAGAAATTGATGAAGATGATCAAAGCAAGGTCGACAACAATGAATAGGATAGAAGAAAATGAAATGGGAGAAGTACCAATGAGAATAGAAGAATGAATCTTCCTATTAGAGATAGACCAGTTTAAAAGATGGAAGTGGTATTCTCAGCTGATTAGTAAATGATAAAACAAGATTATTCCAATAAGTGATAAAATAGATTGCTAGTAAAGATATAAGAACGAGATTTTGTAGACATAGCAAGAAAGTTAAAGTTACTTATAAGTAGCAATGTCAACAAGGGTGAAAAATGATCAACAGAGTTAAATCATTATCAACAAAGGCAAAAAAAAATATTTGACTTTATTTTTTATTAATTTATAATAACAGTTTGCGATAATTCTTTCTTTTATTAATCATGTAAATAGATATCTTTGTTAGTAACTTTGGAGTATGCGAATTTGCTGCATAACAGTGTATGTGTGATATGTGAATTAAAATCATTTTCTCATTCTGAATCGCATTTTAAATTCAGCAATACTAAGCACTTCATTCTCGATCACAATTTTAAATTCGTTTTTTTTTCTTTTTAAGTTGCAGCTTTGAGTTTAACAATACTGAGAATCCACTTGTTCTTAATCATAACTTTAGAAGAATCGACCACAGGAAAGGAAGAATAGGATGAGTGATTTCAATGATTAAATTAACAAAATTAGCTTACTTTCCTAAATGAATCTTCAAACCGTCGAAGTTTTAAACACTGCGTAAGACGTTTTTCGTGTTTCATCCAGAATGTATCGAAACTTCGTTCTGTTTCTTCCAATTGTATAAGCATTCTTTCAATTGCTGTTACATTATGAAGCCTATAAAAAAAAGGACAATAAGCAAAAGAATAAAATTCATGTAAATAAATTTAAACAATTACAAGTGCAGCAAAATTACCAGAAGTATCAATTATGTTATTATCAATACTATCAATTATCAAATTATCAGTTATACTAAAAGATAAATCAAAATGTAAATAGTTGGAATGATATAACAAAACAGACATCTCATTAAAACAGACTTTATTTCCTAACAAATGTTAAGCAAAACGCTTGAAATTATATATATGCATACATACATACATGTGTTTGTATACATATCTTTGTCTATATGTATATGTATGTCTGTGTGTGTATATTCATTATTTTATTAATTTGAATACAAATGAATTAATTTCCTTTTACGTTACGGACTCAACAATAGCAACAAATTTTTTTCTCGAGAACGAATTTTCTGTATGTAGCTGTGTCTGTGCATGTGTGTGCACATATATGTATGTATGTATGCATGTGTCCATGTGTATTGTGTGTATTCACTATTTTATTAACTTGAATATAAATGAACTAAATCGTTTCAGTGTTACGGCTGAGAGCAAATTTTATGTCTCTTTGTGTGCGTGTGTGTGTGTCCGTATATATGCGTATGTATGTATGTATGTTTATTTATTATTTTATTAATTTGAATATAAGTGAATTAATTTACTTTAATTAATTCATTTCAAAATAGTGCGCCATATTTTAACAATCCAATAGAAAAAAAGATCAGACATTTCATGCCCAATACTTTAATTAATTCATAAAAAAAAGAAAGAAATGAATTTCAGATATTAAAATTTATCAATTTTTAGCTAAATCAAAAACTTAATGTAATATTTTCTTATAATAACTTCTTTTAAAAAAATTGAAATAATAAAAGTAAAACTATTAGTAAAAATTTGAATAAGTTAAAAATTCAGAAAAAAGGAAATGTTCAAACGTTAAACTTAGTATTACTATTGTTCAGAATTACTTTAAAAGAAAGCACTAGCTAACATAACGGTATTCAGGAAATAAACCTGGTTGGACTAAGTTGCTCATGTTCCGGCTTAACATCCATTTGTCTGACATGTCGTAATAATGATAATCCTTTTCGTATAGATATTCGAAAGTCTTCCTATTAAAAAAATGAGCATTAAAATTAAATATACAGAATGGAGTTGTATTTTTATCCATATTTTTCCCATATGGATAACAGAAAATTTTCCTGAAAACTGTAAACACGAACAGGAAATAACCTTTATAGCATCACGTTCTGCAGTTTGTATCTCAAGAATTCGTGCTGTTGTCTCGACATCATTAGGAAGTTCTGTTTCTTTTAGGCAACGACCAAATTCGCTTAATGATTGAGCAATTACTGTTGCAGATGATTTCATCCGTTCGATATCCTGAAAAAGGAGGAAAAACTCGTATTAATTAGGTGAATTGGTGAAGAATGAATGAGATTATCTAGTCTTTATAATTTATTTTTGAAATTTAAATAATTTTTGGTTATAATTTAACATACTTCTAAGTAAAATAGTAAAATTTCTTAAATTTCTGATTATTTATTAAAATAATGTTAATTCGAGCCTTTTTCATTTTTACTTGAAAAAAAAATGGTACCTTATTTGAATTACCTATTTGAAAAAGAATCTTATTTTAGAAAAGAAGTGGAATTACGAAAAGAAGGAATCTTACAGAACCCTAGTTGAGAAGAAAGGTGGAAAAGAACAGTTAAATACAGAAGGGAAGATTTCTTTCCGAAATTTAAAATTTATAGAAGAAAATGTGAAACTATTTTCAATAAAATTAATTACAAAATTTTAAAAATTAGTCGTTTTATTGAATATATGAGTAAAAATTATATAAGTTACAAAATACTGTATAAAATTAGTTAATTAATTAATTACTGATATTTGACAAAACTAGATCGCATCATTATGCTGAGTAGATTTAAATTGTAAAAGGAGAAAAACTGCATCACTAAACCTTACCAATTGATAAACTAATTTGGAAGAATTAATAGTTTGCATTGATGAAAATTATTTGCTCAGTAATAATTTCCTGCCCCGTATTCAATGTACAACATTAAATGACCGGCAAATCTTGATGGCGCTTTGAAGTAATAAAATTTGGCAAAAGGAAAAGGAAGGAGGAGAATAATTATATGCATATATGTATATATGGTGTAAAAAATTAGTCTTTAAAAAAAAGTGAACGAAATGTGAACGTCTCGAAAATAATGGGACCCATTTTTATTATTACTATTACTATTGGCAACAAATAATAATATTAATAATAACAATGATAATAATAATAGTGGCAATAAAAAAAAGAAAATAACAGGTTACCATACGATGTTGGACCCATTCTAAATGATTATATTTTAGTACGCCACCGACATCCATTGTCAAACAATCTGGCCCAATATAGCGGCGGAGTTCAAGTGAACTCTGACAAATCACCACCTAAAATAATTTGAGAAATATGCGCACAATAACATTTAAGATGAATTATGATAAATGAATAAGAATTATAGCAGTTACTCAATGTAGTATTTGATAACTTAGGAAAAGGAGAAAAAAAAGAGACGAATAATTAGTAGATTAATTAAATTTTTTCTTTGAATAATTTACATTATTTCATTCTATAATAAAATCAGCAAATATCTTTGGCTCTAATTCATTTATTAATACTTCATCACCAAACACTTATTATCAAATAAAAATAGCAGAAATGAGAAATGAAAACTTCATGTTATAAATAATAGACTGAAGAGAAAAAAAAAAAAATCTGACGATATCTAAATATCGAATTCAGAAAGTTAATGAATAAGTAGAATGACAACAACAATATTAATAATATATTCAAATATTTGTAAGTCAGTTTTTTAAAACAACAAGGAAGCTAAGAAAATTACATTTATTACATTCACAAATAACTCAGGTGTGATAAATTTTTTACCGAAGGAATTACTTCCGGTATCTCTGGTGTTTTGTTGAATTGGATAGGTTTTTTTCAGAATAATAACGGATAAGATTTCCATTTTTTGTACTTCTCTAAAATTTCATTTAAAGCAATTACATGACGCCGATACAGTAGATTTCTTATCGTTTTACCGTATAACAGTCTATTCTTCTGCACTGTATAGCTTACAGTATCACTACGTATTCATACGGTATGTTTTTATACGTTCTCACATCACTCTTATAAATGCTTTGATGAAAATACACAACGATTTCTTGATTTAAAAATTAAATTATAAAAAATGTTAATTTGTAAAAAAAAAAGTTGAAAAAAAAAAGACAAAAAGGCATTTGTTCATTTTACTCTTTTTTTCTTGCAACAATTCAATGCTCTAAAAATTATGACTAAAAGCAAATACATGAAAAGATATTAGAATCGTTTCCGATTTCCGATTCACTCATCATTTCCGGTTTCGATTTAATCAAAAAAGAAATTTTTTTTCCTCACTAAAATTGGATTCATTTCATCTTCTTAACACCTCTTATACGTTTCATCATTTCTTAGTTTTTTATTTTTTCAAACGGAAAAGAAAAAATAAATAAATAAAAAATCAAAGAAATGAAACGGAGAAAAAGAACTAAAAATACCTTCCACTTTTCTGTTTCCACTCTCTTTTACTCCTTTTTATTTCTTCCTCTGTTTTTCAATTATTCGGCAATTTGTAGTTATTGAGAGGTTAAAGAGAGGGGAAATGTTGATAAACAGCGGATGAATGAGCGGGTAGGCGAGAAAGGGCAAGAAATGGCAAAAAAAGACACGACAAAACAAAAGCAGGTTTGAAAAGAATGAAAAAAAGCTTTCGAGCAAATGCAAATTGCTATGAGTTGAAATGAAATGCAAAAGACGTTGGAAGAATGGAAGTGAATTGTTGTTAAATATCAGAAAATTTTCAATTCTTAACATTTTTTAAATGTTTAATGAATAAATGGAAAAATTTATAATGAAAATGAAAAAATTTAGGAATGATTTTTTAAATATTTGATAACTGAAACATTTCGCTGAAAAAAAATTCTAATAGATACTGAAGTTATCTTCCAACAATTTATTCATTTATAATTGCAAATTTAATATAATCTCTTAAAAGTGAAAATAAATCGAAAATTTCTAACTTCACAGCAATTTAGAAATTCTTCGATAAAAATAATAAATTATTTATAGCATAATTATTTTCAATTTATCAGCACTGAATAATGTTTAAATATTAAATTGAATTATCGATAACTTTTAAATTTTATTTATTAATTACTAGCAATGATAAAATGATTGAATTAAGAGTTAATCATTTCAACTTTTTTTTTTTTTTGTTTTTTTCGGAATAAATTGCCCAATGACAAAAAAGAAGGAAAGGGAAGAAAAAAAAGTTTAACTTAACTTTTAATTGATATAAAAAAGCTAAAAAAAATTATTATATTTTAAAACACAAATATTGAGGAATTCTTTTTTTATTTTCCTTTTTTTTTAATTGAAAACTGACAATATATTGGAATGTTAGAAAACAAAATGTATCAAACTATCATTAAAATCTTATGTAAATCTTCACCTTTTCCCTAATTAATATCGTAGTAACATGTTTGTTTAAATTTTTCACTCTATATTATACATTATGATAGTAATACCATAGCCTAAGTTTTGCAGTATTATTTAATTCAATAGTTATTTACCTAAATGCGTTACTAGATTGCTTGAATGTCTAGATAATCAATATTTGCACACCTGTAAATGCATGTAATTTTAAATTCATGTAATAAATTCATATAAAACAATGACTGAGGACGAATAAAAATCATTAAATATTATATATTATTTAAAAAAGCTGTATGCCATGGTGAATCCATGTTACATTATAATAAAATGAATCGAAGAAAGCCTGTTTCAAATAAATTTAAAGGCGAATAATTACATCAACGATAATAATAATTATAATTGACAGTAAAGATAATAATCGGAAGAAAATATTGATGAAATGATTAAAAATACTGCTGAAATATTTTTCTAATATAATATTACTCCAATAAAACTTTAAATTTTGTTTACTTATTTCATTTCTTGAGATTCTAATTAATATTTTTAGGCATATTTATTAAACTATTCGCACATTGCAGAACTAAAATTGAATATTCATAATTAGAAATTTTAAAAATTTTGCTTAATTATGTTAATTATTATTTAATAATGTTATTGACTATGTTAATAATTGTAATTGGCTGGACTAAATGATAAAACATTGATCGTATAATTACTATTTCTAGCATATTTCATTGCAAAAACTAATTTAAAATATATTAGTATACAATGGAATGGTGATTTGCGAGAAGAAATGATAACAAGCTAATATCAAATATAATAATCAGAGAAAGATTAAATAGAGTTCTACAAAAAAAATGAAAAAAAAATCCAAATAACTTCACTGAATTAACAATAAAGAAGTTAAATGGTATAATTTGATAACCAGTACTCTTTTTTTCATTAACAGTTATTTTAATTGTACAGTAAGAAGTACAGCATACTTTTTAATTTTAATATAGAAATGTAACTGTATTAGGTAATCTGAAAAAATAAAATAATTCTATTATTTGATATTAAAGATGAAATAAAATTTGCATACCTTAAATTTATAATTTTCAGTGATTCCACGGTATCCCACTTCGAGTGCACGCTGCAATACACTTTCCGGTTTTAATATAAGTACAATCCGAACCGGTCTTGGAAATGAATTCTGTAATACAAGCAATGCATGAGAAAAATTGCTACATACACCACTATTTAACTTTACTTCTTTTTTTTTTCTTTCTATATAATTTGTCATTTCAAATATTTTCAAAGAAAATATTCAGTCTTTATTTTTTTTTTTTCTTCAATTAATCATTTGAAAATAAGTATAGGGAAGAAGGGAAACTAATAAAATTTAAGTTTTTGGAAATGTTTAGTGGAAAAAACAAACAAACAAAAGTATTTATTTGTATTAATTTTAAAAGCAAAATGATACTGTGTTGTTTAACAATGAATTAAATTTAATGAATAAATTATTCGTTTAATTAAATTTCGCGTTAAAATTTCCAAAAAAGGAAATTTTAATACGATTATGTATATATAAAATAATTCTTTTCCTTACATAAAAAATAATTATTTATATTAATAGAAAATTGTTATGTTGTCATAAAAGTGACATTGAAATTTTACTAAATTCAGAAAGAAATTAAGGACAACAAAAAGAAACTCTTATCACTCAATGACGCAACTCCATTGTAAATATTTCAGTTATTATCACATTATTTTCTTCAAAAAGAAAAAAACAAACAAATAAATAAACAATGAATTTTTTAAAATGAAGGGAATAAGATATCATTTTCATTTTAACCGAAAAAAAAGCAAAAAAAAAAGCGAAACAAAGCAAAATATCTAAATTCTTTCTAAATCATAAATTTTTGATAGTATTATGTGAAATTACAAAAAAATTCGATTTCGAAATGAAAAAAATAAAAAGAAATACATACAATTGTTAAAAGCTTTTCTAATTTTTTGTTAATTAATACATTAATTATTTTGGTTTTAAAATTATTCGTATTAATTTTAAAAATAAGATTGCAGATTTTTCTTTTTCTAGTTTGTTTAAGATTACTTCAAAAAATTATTATTATTATTCATAAACTTTCTTCAAAATAGTTTTCTGTGTTATTATTATTATTATTAAAAACCTTCTTTTTTTGCATCATTATTAAAAATCCTTGAATGCAAAATTAAAATCTAGGTGTAAGGAAAAAAAGAAAAAACGAGAGGATTGTTCGATTTCCAGAACATAATTTTAAAAATTGTCAACAATAATCAACATCCGACTTTTTTCCGTTTTTGCAGTTTTTTTTCCGCCTTTTTTTAATGACAACAATGATAGGATGAAAATATTAAGAATAATGCAAAGCAATAAGATGGATGGCAATTTGATTTGTTGAAAATGACAAAAGGTTTATGATTGCATGAAAATGAAATGAAGTAAATAGGTAAGAGATAAGGTAGGACAAAAGCATATAGAATGCATTATGTTATGGCAAAAATGTTTTTAATGCAATCATTTTTTTAAATTACATTTTCAACTTTAATATTAATAATTTCAATTGTGCATTTTTTTTTAAATTTTATTTTTGATTGAATATGTTATTTCGGTCCAGTAATAATTATATTAATAAAAGCTTTAATTTTCAGTGAAGGTATTTTTCATTGTTTTAGTGAATATTTTTCATTGTTTTAGTGGAAGAAATTTTTGCTATTTGGTATAATGGAAATAAAATAGATTTTTGAAAAATAAATTTAGAATTATAATTGCTGTGGATTTATTTTTTATTTCACTTCGAGAGAAAAAAGATGAGCCAAATATTGATAAAATTTGAATTAAAATTGAAATGAAGCAAAATTAAAAGTAGTTAAATCATCAACCACTATGTATTTTAAATTAAAAGTCAAACAACAAAAAAAAACGAAAAATATTTGATTAATAATAAATATGAAATTTTGAAGGATTTAATCAAAATTATTTATTGCTATATAATAGTGAAGCAAAATAAAAAAAAAAAAAAAAAAAAAAAAAAAAAAACTGAGAATAGAAAAGGCAAGGGCAAAGTCGGTATGTAAAATAATTATAAAAAAAAAAAGATAACGATACTTTAAGAAGTACTTAAAATAATGTTTTCTAATAATAGCAATAATTATGGTGATAATAATGGTGACAATAAAAATGATAATGATACTAATAATAATGATACTAAACAATCCATCAAAAAATATGAATTAGAAATTACGGTGAATTTAAATTCGCCATTTCTCTTCTTTTATTTTTTCTTCCTAAACTGGAATAATTTTGAACTATCAGCAATTGCTGCATCAAAATATTTTCTTCTTTTCAACTAATCATTCTTTTAAATTAATTTTTTTTTACTTCTTTCTTTGTTAAAATATCAATTCTTTCGTGTTTTTAAACCAGAAAAAAGAAAAATCGGTTATATTAATGATAAATGACATGCCTGACGGCTTATCTGTGCTAATTTTATGCTTGAAATAAATTTTTAATTTCAATAATTCGAAAAAAAAGTGTTCGTCAAATAGTTTAAGTTTAAATTATCCTTTTTTTATTTCCTAGGAAAAGTAATAGAAAAGATGATTTTTTGAGCAAAATTTCTTAAAATTTCCAAAAATAATTTGAAAAATATTTTACTAATTGATTTTTCTTCATTTTTGCTCATTTTTAGTAATGTTTTTTGGTTATTTTAGTTCTTTTTCTTTGTTCACACTTATTTGCATTAATTTAACACTTAAATTTTGGTTATTTAAATTGAATTGAAAATTCGGATTGTTAGAATTTAAATGATATTAAAAATTTTCTAATAATAACTTGAAAATTTTGTTCGAAATTCTTATTGTTTCGGTTAGCGAACATTAATTGTATTGGACAATTGACGATTGATTGGTCATTTATTTGATTGTTCGATTTTTCACCAATCTTTCATTTTTTTTTTTTTTTTTTTCATAATAGATTGTTGTTTAAAAGTTTACTTAAAATTGACAACAAACTAATTAAATAATAAGTTTTACTGCACAAAGATTTAAAATCGCGAAAAATACAAATAGATGAGGCAAAAAGAAGTATGTGGAAATCAAATCAAAAAAAGAGAAAGGAAATTTAAAAAGAAAAAGAGAAATTTAAACAAATGTGAAAATTTTAATTGATATGTTTTATTAGAGGAAAAATTTATTAGAGGAAAAAACTGATTAAATAATCTAACTGTCTCTTTCTTACTTCAAAAAATTAAAATTAGAACTAAATTTAAAAAAAGAAGAAAAAGAAAAGGACGAAAGGAAGAAAGGAAGGAAAGAAGTAAAAATGATTCTATTAGAATTTGTTTTCTTCCCTATATAATTATCGATAAGTAAAGCTTTTTAATTGCTTAAATAGTATTTAAGCTAATTAATAAAATAAAAGGATAAGGTCAATTTAAGATTTTTTATTGTGCTACAAATTTTTTAATCATTATTTCTCATTTCACTTTTGGTATTAGATTTCCATTGATTGATGAAAAAAATTTACAATTTTTATTTCTTAGAAAATGTAAAAAATTTTATTAGTTTGATTTTCATTTTTCATTTAATTATTTCTGCATAAAATTAAGATTTAATTCATTTCTGCATTAATTCATTTTGAATAACTTCCGAAGTTGAAATAAAAAAATTCATCAAATAAACTTTTCATTTTATATCAATGTGGGATAAAAATCTTTCCTTTTTTTTTCATTTTTCGCATAACAATAAAATGATCATCTTTCCGTCTTAATTTCGATTAATTGAACTTTTTTTCAAATAATTATCGCATGTCATTATCCATTCTTACGTCTTTGTGTAAATTTACGTGATGGTAAGTAAGAACAATTGTACAAAGAAGTGATATTAAAATTTCGAACATTATATAAGCGTGTGAATGAATATAATGCAGAAATAATTATGCAAACAAATGGGATTTAAATTTTCTGAATTAACTAAGCGTGAAATAACATATAAATAAGTGAAATTTAAATTTACTTACCGTTAGATAAGAAAGTAATAGACGTACGGATGACCACTTATCCATACGTCTATCAATAACAATTACATAACTTTTCTGCTCTTCTTCAAGTCTGAAATTATCATTCAACCATTTCAAGTGCTATTATTAATTTCGACTATTTCATTTTAAATTAGTTGACATCCTGCAAACATTCGGTTACTGTTGATTTAAATAAAATAGAAGAGATAATCGAAAGAGCTAAAAATGATGCAAAAATGAGATGGAGGTTAAAAATTACTGAATTTAACTTTTCATTAAATTTGAAATGTTTACGGTGGTATTTGAAGAAGATAGGAAATGAGAAGATCAAGTTCCACTTCGGCTAATTGAGATCTACTGTCCGGAAATATAAGCACCGGATTACCATCTTTTGTACGAGCACCTAAAAAGAAAGAAAATGGAATAAATTTAATTGCAATTTTTTTTTAGCAAAACAAATACTAATTTATTCTTTTTGCTTCTTATTTTTTTATTAAACAAATATCCTTTTATTAAGCAAAAATTAAAAGAATAAAGAAATGATTAAATTTTAAAAGTAATTTTTCCACAAAGAAGGAGCAGCTTTCGTATTGCCAAAATAAATTGGATATTATAAACTAAATCAGTTGTAAATTTATATTAGCTGAAAATTTTTAGAAATAAATTTTCCCAAAAAGAAAATTTGTGTCAATGCGGAAAAAAGGACGGAAAAATAACATAAATATTTTGAAATAAAATGACAAAAAAAAGTATTATATATTATTTGGAAATTTTTCAGTAAGCAAAAAAGAAAAACTCATTTAAAAAAAATTTTTTTGGGAATTAATTTTTTAAAAAGGATTTGCTGTTCTATGTTATAAAATTTATTTTTAATGATGAATAAAGGAATTTTTCAATTAAAATAAAATTAAAAAAATTGGATAAAGTTTTTTCGTTTTTCAATTAATATAATTAAAATGAATGAAAAAAATTTTCATCAAATTACCATTAGAAAAGGGTGTAATTTTGTGAATGATATTTCGAATGATAAGCCAAATTATCACACATGTATCAATGAGGAGAAATAGTAATCCAATCAACATCACATAACAAACAATTAATTAATATTTTTTAATCAACCCGGTAAGAATTTGCCGCGTTAACTGCTAACACTCATCAAAGTGGTTAAACGAAGTTTGAAAAAATGTATGATATGTTCACATATAAATAAATAACAAACTGAAATGCTCAATTATAGTGGGAAAATATGAAATATGGCTGTTTTTAAAACGAAAGAGTTTGATGCTTAAATTTGTCTTATTAAACATTCATTAACTTATTAATATTGTCATGGCTTCAATCAAGAATGTCGTAGACTTACATTTGTTTGTTCCAAATTGTAAAATTATTTCTTTGTTCAAATAAAACAGTGGTTTCAAGAACAAATAATCAAGAGCGAGAAGAATTTTATGGAAGAAAGAAGAAAGTGAGAACAAAAATCGACTGGAAATTTTCTTCTTTAAAAAAAAAAAAATTATACAAAGAGAAGTAAAAACATATAGTAAATAAAACGATTACAAGGAAACAAATTAAAAGAATTTCCAGTAAAAACAAAAAATTTCCAAAAATTTGAAATAATAAAAAGAAGCAGCAAAGGAGATGGTAATTGCTTGAATAAAGAAAAATGAAGTAAGTATTAAGCAACAAATTAATAAATCATGCAAATAATGATAATAATATCTTTGTTTAAGTCATTCTTGTTTTATTCTACCTGATGCTAATCTTTCACTAATTTTAGTTTTTGTTTTCGTATATTTCATTATTGGTACTACTATTGCTATATTATAATAACTAAATTTTAATGTCCAAGTCGTATTCAACACAACATTTTAATTTAGAATTGCAAAAATTTGATTATATAAAATTATAATATTACTTACAATGCCTTTTTTTGTAACCTTACTGATAAAATTTACAAGAAAAGGTAATGATTTTTCATTACAAGAGTATATTGTTTGAACAAAAAAATATACTTGGTTAAAATGTACGCTTGCTTTAACGTATTTTGATAAATCAATAAATATAATCAGCTGAAATTGCAAATTTAAATACACCCTATGGACATTGTGTTCATATATACATTAAATTCAATTCAACGCATACGTCATGCAGATTAAATTGGATTCAACGTGCATGTCATATACATTCTTAAAAATTTTAATTTGTATATAAATTCGCAAAAGTTTCAGCAATGAATAAATAACAGAAATTATGAGATACATGCATAATAGAAATAGAGAAGTGATTTAGTTCAATAAATTTCTATATATTATTTAAATATTCAAATCGCGCAATAAACCATTCCTATTCATTTCATCATTCACTCACTTTTCAAAAATTTAGAAAAAAAAAGAAATAATTACTATGAATATCACTTTATTTACATAAATTATACACCAATTTTATTTTCATTTCTTTCCTCAATCGATATATTGATTATCTCAGTAAGATTAAATGGAAAGGATGAGTCATAATTATTTTATTTATCTGTGAAAAAAATATGTACAGCAATATTAGTTAATTAATATCTATTCTTATAAGTCCATTGACTACTTGTAAATTATAGTGAAATATCAGTGTATATAACAATTTTATTCAAAAATTTCATCAAATTCCTGGTAAATTTTTTTAAAAATAAATTTAAAAAATTAAGTGGACTACAGAAAATTAAATGAAATCATTCATTTTCAAAGAGTAGTATTTAAAGGTCGTTTCGTAATTTTTAAATGGAAGTATATTCCTTGTTAGAATTTATTCCTAATGTAAATTAATATTTGCTATGCAAGTATTAATTTATAATCACTTATAAGGAGCGTTGAAATAAAATTTCGAAAATTAATAAACATCTTACAAATGGTATTACTATGGAAAGGAAAAAAAGATCAAAAATTATTTGAATTTCATCTTCGTTCTATTCTACACCCGATTTCTATCTTTGAGCAGAAATAAAAGCGAAAGGAAAATTGATTATAAATAGCATTAAATTATTACCATTAAAGGATACAAAAAATATTGGAAAAGGTTCAAAAATAGTTTTGAAAAATTATCAATTTAAAAAAGACAAAGTAGATAGCACTTTTGTTAATTTAAAAATGCAAAATACACAGCACTTTTAGCATAATTTTAAGCATGATTAATTCAGTATAAATTATTCGTTAGAAAATAAGCCATTTTTTAAATATAAACCCAGCGTACTGAAACAAAATCGTTACAGTAAGCAGAATATAAGCTGAATTTCTGATGGGACGCGTCAACATACTGTATAGGACACGGTAATATGGTGATATTTGCTGCAATCATTTTTTTTTTAATTACAAATTCGAATTTTTTATCGAAATGAGATTAGAAGAATCGAATAAATGTAAATTGAACTAATACATATTATTGTGATTTGAAAAATAAAGAAAAACGAATTGAAATTGTAGAGGGAAAAGATAAAGAAATGAGTGGAACGTTATCTATTTGCATAGTGCCAGATGTTCAATCATCAAAATTCTCTTCAAATTTAAATTGTTCCTATTTTCCACCCCTCCCTCGTTATAGACGCTCTGTATATTTAGTTGAAGTATTTATTATTAATGAAAATAATAATAATAATAGTAATAGTGCTGACACATAAGGTAAAATTTTTAAATTACTAAATCAAAATATCATATAACATTATTTTCTAATTCACGTTAAATTTTATAATTTCTTTTTTTTTTTTTTTTTTTGGAAAAAAAATTAAGTGATAAAAAAACACTCATTTTTCACAATTAATGAATATATTTATTTAGATGGAAAAAATAATAGAATTAAATGGGTGAGCAGCAGATGGATGAAATTAAATAACTTAATTGTTAAGCTTAAAAGAACGATAAAATGTTCTTAGTTGAATGAAAATAAAAACAACTTTCGTTTACTAAGTGCCGTTATCAATCTTTTTGTTATTATCTTCTTTCTGCCATTCTCTAATGATACTGTTAAAAATTTTTAGTGTTTTAACGGAAAATTTTATTTTGTTTTTGCTTTAAAGTTTTTTTTTTTTCCTAAAAAAGGATAATTCTCATTTTACTAAACAGTTTATATTTCTGTAAATAATCTATATTCTTGTTTAAGAACAAATAATTAAAGCAACAAAAGTAGTAGAATGAAGTTTTCGGATGAAAAAATTCAGTTGTGAATAACTTACGATTATATAATGATTGTGTGTTTTTCTTAACTCTTGAAAATTACTGATGGTTTAATTGGATGGGTTAAATAAAAATTGAAAATAGCAACACAAAAATTTCAACAAAAAAAATTCAATAATTTTGCATTCGAACTGAAGTTTTCAAGAAATTTAATTCTAATAAGCCATGTTATGAAGGCAAGAGTGGCTGGAAAATATGATTTATGTGCTTCTCGCAATTCTTAAAGATTATTGAGTCAAATACTTTCTCTACAGATTTTTTAAATGTTATATTTTGGAATAGAACTTGAAAACTTCTCTGTAACTTAATAATAATGATTCTCTAAAGTCCTACCATTTAGGTATAGTTTCTAGATAATCCCTTAAATTTATTACCCGGAAAACAGATTATGTTAAATGATTTAAATCACAGAAGTACGGCGATAGTTATTGAATTTTTCAATGCCAAATTTTTCGTCTCATTTCTGTCAGATATTCCAAGTTCCTTTTCTGCTCCCATCTCAGTGACAGCCCATGACAATCCCAACCAAATTTACGTTCAACCTTTTTTGAAGCATAGTCTGATAACTCGCAAATGCATCCTTTATGAAACCAGTGAGTAAGTAAGTGCCCATAATATGGAAGTCCATTTGCAAATGGAGGTCCATCGTAAAAGACAAAACAATTATCCTTAGGACGTTTCTCAACTGACTGTTCAAAAATTTTGTTTTCCTGCCAAATTTTGAAATAATTTAATAATTAAGAGAAATTTAAAATAATCATAAGTAGTAACCATAATTGAAAAGGTGTAATAAGTTTCCATTTAAAAAGAAATATTTTGAATTTCAAAAATTCAGTAGTTTTTCTTTGTCCTTTAAAATCTCAACTTTATTTCTTTTTCCTAACATAATGCAACAGATATATATGAGAAAAAAGATGAAAAGACCAATAGAATTTATTTCATTAATTAATACGTTCTGCAATTATAAGTAAAGCGAAGTAGAAAGAGAAACAAAAACAAAAAAAAAAAAAAAAGCAAACATACCGGTAATAAAAGCAAATCTCGATGCTAAAATATCTGAGATTTCCTTAATTTTAATCCGTTTATTGCCAACGTCCATAAAACCATCTATAAATGTGAAAATAATCAATTAATAATAAAAAATTCCAAAAAAAAAAAAAAAGAGGAGGAATATTTAAATCAAAAAACTTGTTCTTTACTTTAAAATTTATTCTTTGAAAATATTATCAAAAGTAAATTGATTTGATCTCAGAATATATTATTTGATTGACAATATTTTTATGACTTATATATACAAATTGTTAATAAAAAAATTGATAAATTGGTTGATTAAATATTTTCAAGTTTCTATTTTATATTCTTCTTAGTATAACAAAGGGAAAGAATATTGTTATCGAATATCACAAGAAAAAAAAAATTCAAATTAGGCACAAAATCCTGGTCTAAAATATAAATCTGATGATAAATTTTGATAAAAACAATGATAATTTGAAAATAACAAAAGCACAATATTAAGAGTAATAATAATAATAATAATATGATAGTGATTATGTCAATAATGATATTGGAAAAAGAAGTGATAATATTAAAAATACATGTCGTTTATACTTACTATCATCACTATCGCTCTTATGACAAGCTATTATTCAATTATAATTGCTATTATTATCAACAATTCCATCATTAATGTACTATTATCATATTCCATTATAAATATATTATCATATTCCATTATAAATATATTATCATATTCCATTATAAATATATTATCATATTCCATTATAAATATATTATCATATTCCATTATAAATATATTATCATATTCCATTATAAATATATTATCATATTCCATTATAAATATATTATCATATTCCATTATAAATATATTATCATATTCCATTATAAATATATTATCATATTCCATTATAAATATATTGTCATATTCTATTATATGTAGCGTTAATTACCATTGATTATCACTGTTAATAATAGAAGTATAAGCATTACTAAAATTAGTTTCAATAGTTGTAGGAGTAGCTGTCGTAATAGATTTATTATCAGCAATAGTTTTCATGACGACTGATAATCAAAATATATATGAAGTAATTATTGCAGTAACAATAGTATTTATCACTAAATTTAATATTACCAGCAGTACTATAAGTAATAGTTATCACGACAATTGATAATCAGTAAAGCAGCAATTGCGCAGTGATAATAGTAGTATCTAATTAATGCAATTGTTGTAATTTCAGTATTAGTACTAGTGGAAGAAGTAGTAGCGGTAGTGGTCTTTATAACAAATAATAATGGCGGTAATGTCAACCAACAACGACAAACAACAACCATATAGAGCTAATAATAGTAACTACTATTAATAAAACTGGCTTTTGTCATAATTAGAATATATAATTTCGAATATTGTTGCAAGCGCAAATGCAAAAAATCTTATGCCTCATTTTATAACTTATTATATCATATTTAACAAAAAAGACTTTTTAAAAAAAAAAAAAAAAAATGAAAATCAACAAAATTACGATTGAAAAAAAAGAACTAAAAAGAAAGGAAGAGACCAAGTCTCGTCATATGAATTTTATGATATTAATATTGAACGAGTCATTTCCTAAGCTCGTTTTTTTTTTTCTTTCATTTCTTGAAATGACCTTCAAAAATATCAGAAAATTTCTTCGTTATAATAAAAAACTAAAAAAAAAAATTGCGTAAGAATAAAATAATGAAAGTTCAAAATTTATAAAAAATATGACCAATCTTCTCCTTTTGAGATAAAATTTGATATCTTATCATTTAAACTCTATATAGAATTGTCAGTAATTTTTCCGCTTTTTTTTACAAGTACTTTTCATAATTAAAGAATAGAATATTTACAAACAAGTTGAACTAACAAAAGAAAAAAAAAAGAACTTAATAACAAAATAGTATTGTAAAAAGATATTTAAAGAATTAGAAATGCAATTCATCCAGGTCTCATTTTAATCTCCACTTAAAAAATTCACTCTATTTTTTCGCCTAGAAAAGTTTACTTCTAATCTGAAAATTTATACCAAATGTGTTGCGATACAAAAAATATCATAAATGAATTTTAAGAATAAGTAGACCTTTAGAAAGTTAAAAAAATTAATCGGTAATCGATATTTGTCATAAAAATTGTGATAAAAATGCTAGAAATAATAATTAGAAAAAAAAATTTTTTATTTTATTATTTTATACTTTATTTTACAAATTCTAGATTTTTCATTATATAAACGAATTTAACTAATTTCATATTTCGTTATCTTATCGTGGCAAACATAACATAAATCCAGACTGAAATTTTCATCGATCAAATCATTAATATAATCTTGTTTATTATTCATAATGTAATTGAAGTTTCAGAACGTTTCAATGACAAGCTAATTGACAATCTCAAAGAAATAATTCAAATTTCAAAATCGAAACTTTTAAAACAGTTTAAGTTCAAGTGCAAATTAACAGATTCTACTAAGCGGAAAATAAATTTCATAGACAAATCCTAATAATCATCTCACAAAATTAAGAAAATCAATATGTGATTAATGATTCACCAATTTGCTAATCATTTAAATATCAAACAATGAGTCATTTAAGTATCTCAATTTGCTAATTAAATATCAAACAATGAGTCAAGAACAAAATGTAAAAATACAAGTTATACACCACAAAAATTTAACCTAAATAATTAAAATCAAAATTAAAGAAATTTTTTAAATAGTATTTGATTATTGCTTTGATTATTAATATTCATGGTGATCATATCTGCTTATCACTTCATTACATATTAGTAATTCCTTGATAAGAGATTGAATGAATGCACAGATGCGCAAGTGGATTAATTGGATGAGTTAAAGGAATTAAACAGGAAATGATGATTACTTGAGGCGCATCCGGTCTATGATATTATGAATGATTTAGGATTAAGGCAATTCGATCGGACGATGACAATGATAATTATAATACAATTTCTCCCGGACTTTTTTATCCTTTTATTAAATTGATTACTGTTATTATATTTCCATCACAGTATAATCAACATTATTATCATAATCATTATTATTAAAGATATGTTTTAGTAAAAATTCACATTTATCGTTCAAAAAGAGATTGGAGCACTTTAATTTTCAGTATAATTATATTATTTATTATTATTTATTGTTATTAATATTTACTAATATTACTATTATCAAAAATATATCGCAGTAAAATTTCAAATTTATATTGAAAAAGATTTAATATTTGTCGTCATTAATATCACTATTATTTACTACAGTTTTCATCAAAAATTCATTTTAGTAAAACTCTAAATTTATCGTAAAAATGATAACGAATAATTTTTGTTGTAATAATTACTCGTCCTATTATCATAATAACCACTACTATTATTATCATTATCATAACTATGATATCATCACAAATATTTTTTAGTAAAATTACAAATTTTTCGGGACAAAGTGATTAAGGTTCCAAAACAAGAATAAAAAAGAGCAAGTTAAAACTGTGTTTACATTAAGATTTATTATTATTATTATTATTGAATGCCTTTTTTAAATATTTTCTAAAACACAAATAAAAGTAATAAAAAAGACAAATATGACCAATTTGAATTTGTGAAAAGTGAAACAATTGATTTAATTTTAAGCATTTTCAACGAATTTATAAAATTTACAAATAGTTATTGATTGACTGAGATGAAAACAATAGCATACCATAAAATAGGTATGTGAAAAACTAATCAGTGATTTATACTTTCTAAATTAGTATAAAATTTGTATAATTAATTTTATAACTACATTACCTACAATTAATCACATTTGATAATTAGCTTACAATTAAGTTTTAAAAATATTATAAATAATAACTTTACTTACCCCAATTATCATCATCAGTATCACTGCTTACTTCGCTGATATCTTGATGAATAATCCATCCAGTACCATATTGATTATGCTGTGAACGTTCTAAAACGGATTGATAACCGGATTCTTCCAAAAATTCGGCTGACTTTAAAGCTTCTTTCAGTGCCCGTAAATCAAAATCCATATCATAATGAAATTTTGGTGCTTCCATAGAAATAGCACTATCTGATTTCGGTAGCTTCCTATAGCTGATAAAATTTTATCATTAAAAAATTTATTTCCAAAACAAAACAAAAAAAAAAAAAAACAAGAAATTTTAACTATTTCCTTTTATTTTACCATTAAATAAAAAAAGAAGTCTTGAAATTTAAGTTTAACAAAGAGAGAAATAATGATTAGAAAGGACATAAAACAGTGTTTTCGTTTTTTTACTCTCAAAAATTAAATTCAGTTTTTTTAATGACATTTATTTATGTTTTTCTCCTTTTTTCTTGTAAACAATTGAGCTCAATCAATCTATCATTCAACGAAATGAACAGGTCAAAAGGTGAAATTTTAATTACTTTTATGACACAGCTAAATGAGAACCAAAATTTCTTATTCAGTCAAATTCCATTCTTTTTTGTTTGTTTACATTCTATCTTTGAATTATTTAAGGATTTTTAAGATTATTTGCATTTAAATTAAACTATAATTTGTTACAGTTTTTTTTGTATTAACAAATGATAAGAAATAACAATTTTTTTTATGAATTTTTTTTTTTCAAAAATACGCATTGGAAAATTACTATTTCAAATGATATTTTTCAGTGTTTGTAATTAAGTATTCGTTCATTCTTTTCAGCAATAATTATTGATAATTAAAGGAAATTAATTCAAATTTTACGATGATCTGAATATCACCTATGCATATGAAATTGAAATTAAAATTCTGTGGCAAAAATGAATTGTGTCACAATATTTTTATTATATTCTTATCATTTGTCTCATAAATTATAATAGCAAATGATCAGTTTTTATTTTAAAAAAATGATAGCAAGAATTGCGACGATATATCTTAATGATATGAAGTAATCTTTCACTCTCGTATCAGTTAATATTATATAAGAAATTCTACTGATAAGAAAGATAAAAAGACGATAATAGCACCAGTGAATTATTATTATTTATTATTGATTAGCTAAAATTTATTGGTGCAACGTTCAAAAGATATTGCCTAACAGAAAATTTTATAGGTCAAACTGATGGTAAAATAACGAAAAGGCCAACAAAGAAATTATTATCCATTATATGTTATATGAATGATTGAATAAATTAATTTGTTTGTCATTTCGTCAACAATAAAACAATTATCTGTTCACTTCAAAAATTTTGACAACAGAGACAATTAATAATAGCAATATTTTTAATGAATCATAATCGAAAGAAATAAAATTAAATTAAGTAATTGAGTAAAACAAATGAAATGAATAAAGAAAAGGTATATGAACATACTCATAGGCAGGTGTATTGGATAATTTATGTCGTTGAATGTTTGGGGCGCAAACTGATGAGGTTGACGCGGTCAAGCTACCGTAACACGACAGTTGACCTCCAGATGATGATTCCCACAGCGATCGTGGCGGTTCTAATAGACGCAATGTTTTATTCCCTATTGATGCTATAAAAAAAAGACATTGCAAATTTTCATAAAATATTTAATTAAAATTAAAATATGCTACAATATAGGTATGACTTATAAATAGCCTCTTTTTAGGAAAGATTTGATAAAAAATGAAAATAATTTGAAGTATACAAATATTTAATCCAAAAAATTCCTTTCTGATCCTTTTTTTTTTGTTTTACTCTTTTTTTTACAAATAAATATCAAAATGCATTGAATTTTTCAAGAAATCATTCGAACACTTTGCTTTTTTTTATTGTCATTAATTTATTAAAAATGTTAAAAAATGTCATTTTTAATTGTGGTATTTTTATGAAACATTTTTTTTTGCGTGAAATGTTGCTGTAAATAGGTTATTTAAATTAATGAATAATACTGACTGCTACGTTGTCATATCTTTCTTTAATTGTGCTATTACTATTTTTTTTTTATAATTTTGAATAGAAAAAATTTAATCCTAAAAAATGATAATGTAAATTTTCTTTAATTCTGAATTTTTTGATATTTTTTTATATTAAATGATTTGTTCTTGAATATCTAAAGAATTGATTAATAGAAGAAAATCAAAATTTAGCGTTCACTATTATCAAATTAAATCTTATCAATTACTTAATTGTTGAATGTTATGGATTGTCGTCAAATTAATTCATTTTAATAATTTAATTTGAAGTTTAATTAAGAAGAGAAAAAAATGAAGCATGAATAGAAAATTGATTTATAAAGTAAGTAAAGAAAAAAAAAGACGAATTACATCAAAAAAGGTTGAAAAATCAACGATTTATTTAATTATTATCAATTACTAATAACAATAACCTGTATCAGTTGATCCCACATTTTCCATCAGAAATGTTTCAAAAAATGGATTTGAATAGCTATTTAAATTAGAGTGCGTAATTTTGAAATGTATTATTTTGTATGTCAATTAACTGATGAGTCAATATTATTGTTCGTTTGCTTGCTGTGATTGATCAAATGATTAAAATTTAATAGATTACACAGCGTGTCGTTAATCATTCCATTCTTATCATTTATTAATTAAAAATTTCTTTTATTCCAAATATTTTCTTATCTGAAACAAAAACAATTTTTTTAAAGGAAAAAAGTAAGTGGATATAATAGAAAGCGCATGCAGTTGAAAAAAAAAATACTGAAATTTATTTCTTGGGCGAAAATTTTTTTTATTAATCACTCGCTATACCAAAATCTCAAAGAATAATTAATGAATTCAAAATTTTTCCTTTTATTCTAAGTATTTTGGTATCAGAAATAGAAAAGTCGATTTTTATTTTGAGAAAAAAAATAAACGGATATATTCTTAAAAACCACAGTATTTGATTGAATTGATTGCTTATCAATTTCAATGCTAATGCAGTAATCTAGTATTATATGCCAATATCATTGCATTATTATTTTGGAATATTTTAACTGTTATTAGAGATGGACTAATTATTGAATTCTAGAATTAAAACCTTTTTCCTGAATTTATAAAACTACAGCAGTTATGTACAGAACTGTGAAAAATATAAAATGATGTAAAATGAATACAATCTCTGTTTGGATAAAAACTAAAATAAGAAAGGAATTGGAAAAAATACATACTATTGTCCATTTACCTGTAAATTAGGCACTATATGACCTCAACATGTACTTGAGCTAAAAAAATATGTGATATTCTCATATACCTCAAACACACACCTGAAATACTTTTGTAAATTTATTAAAATATACCAAATGTAATTAAAATAAGCCTTGAAATTCAAAATTATACATGACAGTTCTTTGTACTTCTTTTTCTTAAAGCAAAAAAAGAAATAAACTAAGACAAATTAAGCTTAAAATCCATTATATTGAGCAAAATATTTAATAAAAATCGGAAAAAAATTTTTTTAATAATTAAAATAGTTTAACTAAACGTCCAAAATTAGAAAAGGGGAATTTTGTAAATTTTATCCTTTCAAAGCAAAACTATTTAATAGCATTTTTTTATTGTCATTTATTTAAGTTTACGTTTAAAATTATTTTCCAAAAATAGAATCCAATTTAGCACTGTTCAAAATTTTATTTGATGCTAACTAAATAATTTTTAATCTAAGATATCGAATTCATTCTATTCCTATTGGCATAAACATCAAATTTACTACTGGTTGTAGCTGATATGACCACTAAATATATGACTACTACACCCATGCAATTATATGCCTCTCCTCGATGACCGAAGTGGTCAAATCTATTCTTGGTCATTTCCTCGTCCTCAGCATCTTCTTTCTAACATTCAATCCTTGTTGACTAAACCTATTTACTGCTATTACCTCCCCTCTCTATTTTTTGCCACTCTGTACATTATATTTCCTAATGAGTGGATTGTCAGTGGATCCGGAATTCAATTTAGCTTATTTCCACTAAATTACCGAACATAGTCCTATTGCAAGTTACCTGAATTATTCACATGTAGCAAAAAAAAAAAAAAAAAAAAGAAAGAAAGAAGCAAAGAAACAATTCATATATATCATTATAATTTTTATTTCTAAAGAATATTAAAATTATTGCTTCAAAATTTTCTAAATTATTCTAAAACTGAAAATAAAAATTCGCATCTAAGAATTTTTCTTTTTTTTTTAAAAAAAAAAGGATTTTCAGTATATAATCACGATATACAAAATATTAATTATTGAAAAATGGCAAAAAAAAATGAAGAAAAAGATTAGGTCATTGCCATTATGACTTCTGCGCTTAAAAAGGTTACTTTAGTTATTCGTTTTTTTTTTTATGTATGCAACAATCTGGAATGAGTAAATGTACTATCATTATAGTTCAATTCAATTTATATCGGATGAATAGCAAATTAGGCTAAGAAATTTCTAGGCAAAAGTTTCAAGAGAACAAAAAAAAAAAAAAAAAAGGAAATCGAAAATGGAATAAATGAAAGAAGCCTTAAAGGCATTTTTTGCGCTTTTATTTTTATTTATTTGCCTTAGAAAAGAAATATTACTGTGTTATAGAGAAAGAAAGTGGTGAATAGTAAGAAAAAAAAGACTAGCTAGTAACAGCTATTTGAAATCGATTCAAGCCAGAAATCAGCATTTAATTTTCCTTCTCTCTCTCTTGCTGTCTATCTTGTATTAGTAGCCTAGGCTTTGGTTTATAGACAGGCTCAAATCTATTCTTCACTGTATGCATGAAATTTACCTTCTCTCTCAATTTTATTTATCTCTTTTTTCTCTTTCCATCTTTCTTCCTCTTCTTATTTTAACAAATCCGTTTTTTCTCATTTTTTTCATTTCTCACGGGATCAAATATTCATATTTTGTTTATGACTTTTATTTTGTTTACTTTTCCTAGTCTTTTTTTAACTAATGCAAGTAATGATATCACTGATAAGATTATCATCATTAACAATGATTGATTTGCAAATACAAATAAGCAAATAAAATATCATTCAATGATATTGTTATATTCATATATAGATAATCATATTTTTCAATATATAATTAAATTGAATAATTAAATTTCACTTTTATTTCATTATCCAAAATTAATTCCAGTATTTTGATGCAATTAGTTGTTAATTAAACTTCGGAACAGAAGAAACAAACTACAAGTAATACTAATATCATTTAAATTTGTTAAAAAAATGAGGAAAGCTAATAAAAGTGAAAATTTTTATGTATATACATGCCATATACTTCAATAGTATTATTGCAGACTAATTAATTAAAGTTAAATACTAACTAAGAGCTAATAAAGCGAATAACTTTTCTTAATTTCATAATTAAATTTTCCTTTTTCTCTATCATATAATCATCGATAATTGTGATAAAAAACATAGTTATCATATTAAGCATTTAAATTCATCATTATCATTCAAATGATAACACTTATATGTCTAGATTTTAAATTAGATATACATTAATAGTGAATAATTCTAACTTAATTTCATATTTATTTCAATTATTTCATATATCTTATAAGATGTGAAAGAAAAGCAAATTATAATTAATTAAAATAAAAAAAAAAAAAAAAAAAATGAAAATTTTGAAAGTACTTGAAAATAATAAATTAATAAAATCTATCCATTTTTAAATATTTAATTTATTAAATGAAATAAAAGATGAAATCGGAATGACTTTAGCCAATAATTGGGTTTTGAGAAATGATAAGAATGGATGGAAGAAGCCAAGTAAAATGTTGATTGATTGCATATGAGAAATGGAAAGGAAATTGGGACCGCTGTATCTATTGGACCGATTTATCTAAACACATTAAATGGAAGAATGGGCGCTGTCGTCTATGTGTATGGACTTAATTTGATTGGCAATGGCTTTAAAATTGCGCTTTTAAAATGAAAATGTTGCAAATTTCGTAACGATTCAAATGAAAATTCTTAAAATACTTTACGTTTAATATTATTCTGTAACGTTTATTAATACGTAAAAAATTTCCAACGTTAACATAATAAGCATTGAAAGATTTGTAATATACTGTTTTAAGAATTAGTGTATTTATAAGTGAAATTTGTCATTATTAAAACAATGCATATCTTGTTAATTAACTGATAAAATTATTAATTGCATTAATTAATTGATAAAATTATTAAATGTGTAATGTTACATCTGTTTTTTTTTCTCATGTTTGTAGCAAAAAATAAAAAACAAAAAAACAAAAATTGATTTTAGGATTACAAAATGCGAGATACTTCGGAAATTTTAGGCAAAATTATTTTAGCAATGATTAAGTTTTATCATATCATTCCATGCATTTGTTCATAAAGTGTTAATTATATAAAAGAAATAGAATGATATTTTTGATTTCATTTATTTCCTCAGCAGTAATTAATTTTTACGAAAAAGGAAGAGAGAGAGAGATTGAGGAAGGATAAATAAGGAGAAGAAAACGTGCCTTTAGGTTTAAACAAAATGTACAACTATTAAAAGGAGAAAATGATGAATGAAAAGACCATAGGCCTAGTGTGCATCTATATTAGTTCAGGCCTAGTCTAGATGTATTAGTTCAGGCCTAGTTTAAATGTATTAGTTCTATCTTGGGATATGGAACTTCCCAACACCCAACTGAGATGGAAAATCGAATTTTTGCTATCTTGCAAAATTGACACCATACATTGTGATTGTGCCTTAGCAATTATATCTCAGAAATTTTCTTCTCTCTTCCTCCCATATCATTTCCTCCCTTTATTTTTCCCTTTTTATCAAAAATCAGACAAATTTCAGTTTTAACAAATTATTTTATATTATACAAATAATATTGCGAAATTATTGATCGATTACTCCTCAATAAATTTCAATGAAAAATGTTGAAAAGAAAAAAGTGTTCCTAATGTAAAGTAATAAGTTTAAATATTAAAAAAAAAGAAAAAATACCTAACTGTTCCTTTCAAACGAAAGAAAAAAGTTTAAAAAAATGGAATTAAAAAAAATCTTCAAAAATAACTGATCGAATATGGTGCATTATTTCAAATTCAAAGAAAAATAATAATTTAAATTAAATGAATTGCATATTTTTTTTTCTTTTTATCATTCCAGCATGAAATGCCTAATAATACACAAATATCTTATACATACATATATGAATATATAAATAAATATTAAATATGTTAAATTAATTTTTGAATTTTCATTCCTTTCAATAATTGATAATTTTAAGATTTTTTCTAAAAAAAATAGTGAAAATTAAAATTTTTATGGCAAATAATGAAAAGGAAAAGGACGAAAAAAGAAAGAGGAGGAGGAAAAAGAAGATAGAGATATTGATGAATATGAAGAAAGAAGATAATGATTTCAATGTTTGATTCATTATTTTCGTTTTTTTTTTCTTAGCCAAAGTGAT